GCGCGCCGTGGCGGCCCCTTCCCCGGGCTCCTCCTCATTTCCAGGGAGTAGGACCTCCTGGCCCGCGCCTGTGACCTCAGTTCTCAGCCCTGGCCTGGTGAAGAGCACAGGCACGCCGGGTACAGGCTGGGAAACTGGGACAAGTTCACCTTCAAGTCCGATCCGCACCACCCCGGTAATTCTGGCCACTCCCAAAGCCTCAATTCCTCCAAAGAAAACTCATTTTTCTAGCGATACTGGTTCAACCACTCTCTCGACCATCATTTCTGGGCATGAACTGCATTCTTCTATCACAAGCCACTCTGAGCCATACAGAGCCACACATTCCGTTTTTACTTCTTTTTCTCTCGAGGATTCCACTTTATCCACGTCACTGCCTGCCTCCTTCCAGACTAGAAGATTTGAGACAAAGCCTCTTTCCCATCTGACTCGTGGACTGAGGGAGACAAGCCTAGCCTTGGACTCCAGGTTAACCACACACAAAAACACTTCTTTTTCTCCTCTATACACTCATCTTACTGTTATTTCCAAGCCTCATACCACCTCTTCTCTGAAGTTGTCAGTCCCTGACCAGCTTCCGTCTTCACATGTTACTGAAATTCCACTGGAAACTGTCTCCCATTTTTATAATTCTCTCCCTTTTACTGAGTCTGCTAGGATAACCCCCTTCCTGGCATCCAAGCTTTCTGTGCCTATTTCCAAAAGTACTCAGTACCCAAGCACAGATATGTTGTTTTCAGCTCAGACCATTTTGGCTCACATATTGAAGACTTCTCTGTCAGATCCCATGGCTTCCTTTGCCACACCTGGAGTTCCTGATGCCAGCTCAGCTGCCTTCTCATCCAGTTCATTTTCTAAGGCAGAATCAGGTCCTGAGGTTGCTACTATGTCCACCGTTGCAGAGAGCCTACCTTCATCATCTTCAACACCTTTCCCCTTTTCAACCTTCACCTCCACTGACTCTTCAACTAGCACAGCTCTCCATGAAATTACTTCCTCACCAGCTACCCCACGTACAGTGGGCACCAACCTTGAGGCAGAGAGCAGTACTGCTGAGGGACCCTTGGTTATGGTCAGTACTTCGAAGACTTGGACCCAGCCACTCAGGACATCTTTATCACCCATTATGGATGGCAGAATGACAGAGAGTGTTGTCTTGCGAACAGGAACAAGTTCTTCTCATGTTCTTCCACACTCAACACAGTCGACAAGTAAGGACCCACTGCTCCTATACTCCCACTATTTTGGGCTCATAGGAAATGGATCCTTTCCTAAGAGGTAACAAGGAGTTAATTAGGAGTTTATTACTGCATCAGAAATTATTTTAGCAAAAATTTGTTGATCAGTTCCAGGCACTGGGAGAGGCATTGGGGAAACAGTGTAAATAAGCAAGTAGTTGAATAGTTACAGTACCATGATAGATGTTCTAACACTATTACTAATGCTGCTGCTGCTGATAATAATAATAATAACAAGTGTTTATAGAGCACTTATTCTGTGTCAAGCACTGTTCTGTTAAGTTATTTAATTCTCATTGGAATGCATTTGGAAGAAAGGACTGTTATAAGCCCATTTTACAGGTGAGTAAACTGATGCAGAGAGGTTAAGTAACTTGCTCAAGATCACAAAGTTGGCAAGTGATAAGAACTCAGACTATGTGGCACCTGGAATCCATGCTCTTAGCCATTAGGCTAGGCAGTAGTGCTCCGAGAGGTAGGAGGAAAAGCAAGAGATTCTGGCATCACAGTATCCATAGGAGGGGAGAGTCTTAGGAAGGAGGAATGGTCAGTTCTGTCAAATGCTATAGAATAGCCAAATTGAAATGAGGTGAGAAATTCTTTGACAACATGTGGGTCCTCAGGGATGCTAAAGAAGGGAGCATCAGTGAGGTATAGAGGACTAGAACAACAGCTAAAATACTACATAGATACAGGGGAAGGATTCTCCCTTTGAGTTGAGCATATTTCTATGTTGAGAACAGAGTCAAAGGGAGGGGAAAGATGAAAGAAAATGGTGAACAAATGAAAATCAAGGGAACTGAGCACTTACAGATGTGGGAGGGACCCAGGTCTAGGAGGAGAAACAACCCCCAAGAGACCATTAGATGAGGGAGAGAACCTCTTGGGGATTCCATTCCTCTGAAAAGTTAAATTTGATCCCAACTTTTATTCTGGACGCTAGTCTAAAGAGACCCTCCAACTACTCCAGCAGCTGCTTCACTAGACAATGTCTTTAGGAGGATGACTTGATTATCTCTCAAACTAATTTTAACAATTTTGCAATAAAGTTAGACACATTGATGGCTATTGACTCATGTCTTAAAACGTGGCTCAGTAGTTGAGTCATGGGTGTTTAGTAAGCAAGTGATGGGTGGGATGTTAAGAAAGTAGAAGTGTGATTGGATGGGAAGGATGAAAGGAAGAATGGAGAGATGGATACATGAAAGAAGAAAGGCTGGATGTATGAGAGGAAGGAAGGAAGAAAAGATGGATATATAGAAGGAAGAAATGATGAAAAGAAGGAAGGATGGATGGAAGGGAAGATTGAAAGAAGTTAAGATTGAAGAAAAGAGCAATGAAAAGTTAAAAGGAAAGGAGAGAGGAAACATAAAAAGAGGGATACATGGTAGGAAGAAGGAATAAAAGGAAAGGATAAAAGGAAAGATAAGAAGGAAAGGATGATGGAAAAATAGTTGGGTAGATATAGGGATAGATGGATGAATCTATGGGTGGATGAATAGATCTATGAACGAATGTGGCCACTTATGGCATATAGCCCTGGCTCAAGTCCATATAAATGGACTTGAGAAGAATTGAGTTGTATAGTCAATTAAGTGAATCCATTTAGACGGTACTCTCCTTCTGGATGAGATGAGTTACCCCAGGTTTCTTCCCCACCCTCACCTGCAGGGACCGAAGGCATCATAGAGCACGTCACAAAGATACACAATGAAGCAGTACATGGAGGCACCACGGGACCAGTTCGTGTCCCTCTGGCACTCACATCATCTGCTAGTCTTAGAGGTAGGTTCAGCTTTGCTTAATTCCCAGTAATCCCACTTGTGACTTATTTCCTGTTTCAGAGAGATGATATATGTGTTTATTTAAAGAAAGTATTATGTGGGGTTGCCATGGGCTTCTCTGTCTTAGCTGGATCGTTGTCTAATTTTACCAGGTGGATATTACCACTTTTCCTTCTCTCATAACATACTGAGTGAGTTTAGTTCAAGGTTGGATATGTCAGCTTTACAAAGTTGACCCAGTTTAATTTACTGAAAACACTTACTAATCGCTTTTTGTGTGTTCAAAGAGATAAAGCATGTGAAGTGCTCTGCAACTGCTCATCATCATCATCATCAAATACATATGAAACACTTTAGGATGTCTCCTCTCAGAAATGTGGTTTTTAGGATATTATCAGCAACACAGGGACATTGCTACCTCATCAGAGTCAAAATACCCTTCATTTTGTCCCTCTCCCTGTAGCAAGCTTCAATAGACTTTGTGGTCTTTATAGAGACGCTCCAAGTAGTTCTTCCTCCCTCCTGGGAACGACTTTCTGAAGCCCAGGTCAGTGGCTTCTGTCTCAGCCAATGCCACTTTACTCTGCTTCAAGGCTGAATTCCAATCAGCTTGGCCACCTAGTGTGGTTCCTGGCAAATTCAATTCAGTAAAAGTTTGTTTTGTAGCAGAGGTATAAAAAGTAGAAGTAGTAGTAACAGTAGCAATAATATGCAGCAGCAGTAGTAGCCATAGCAATAACTATAGTAATGGTCAGTAAGAGTAATAATAGTAACAGTAGTAATAACAACAGTAATAGGTGGTAATAGTAGTAGTAACAGCAGTAATGGTAGGTAGTAGCAGTGATAGTAGTAACAGTAGTAGGTGGTAACAGCAGTGGCAGTAACAGCAGCAGATAATAGTATCAGTAGTAACAGTAAAGTCTTATTGTGATCCAGGAGGCACTTTGCTTGGTGCATTTTTATCAACACTCTGAGATGGCACTGTACTTAGCCCTACTTTATAGATGAGAAAATGGAGGTCAGGTAGGATTTGGTAACACATCTATTTAGTGGGGGAGCCAGAGTCTTAGTGCAGGACTATCTGTTCCAGAACCCAAGCTCTTAAGCACAATGATACATGATCTCTCTCAAGTCGGAGGAGACTTGCCTATGTATACACCCATTCATGTATTTATTCATTAATTTATTCACTCATTCATTCAAAAAATATTTGTTGATCATCTACTGTATGCCAAACAGTCAGACATTAATAGCTATTACCAAGCAAACTGTGAGAAGTGGCACAATACAAGTTTAGACAGTATGATAAGGAAGTATTGAGAAGGGAGAGATGAATTCTGACATCAATTTGTAGAGGTATATTTCAGCTGGCATTTGAAGAGGGGCAGAATGTAAGTAATCTAACGAGAGATGAGCATGGCAGGCAGAGAAAACAGCTTGAACAAAGGCTCAGTGGCTGGAGGAGACCAGAGAGTGGTCAAGATTTCATAGAGGAGTTACGACCCAAGATGAGGCTGGTAATGCAGAGGAGTGCCAATCACAATTCCTTTTCCCATTCCAGAAGCATCACAGGCACATCCTGGGTAGAGACATTTCTCTCTCTTTCCTCCTATGGAGAAAAAATAAACTACTGCCAGTTCAGTAAGTGGTGATCATTTTGTCCAAATTGTGTGTCCATCCCACAATTCACAGGACTACCAACAGGAGGGGCAGAGAGGGCAGAGACCACCACCACAGCTCCGAAGACCACCTCCACAGTACCTTTGACCACCAGAGTCTCTAGTCCCACTTCAGGAATGCTGACTCTCCACAGGACATCCAGTAAAATGGCCAGCACAGGCACAGCAGGAGTGACCATCACAACTCCAGATGTTTCCCCTGATGTTCCAGAGATGACAGCCTTGTTGGTCACTAGACCTAGAGCAGAAACCAGCACAGCAGTTCCCAGGACAACCCCATCTATTTTCAATAGAGGATCAGAGACCACATCCTCACTGGACCCTAGTTCTGGGGAAGAGACAAGTTCAGCTGTTCCAACTCTGACTGTTTCCCTTGGTGAGACAGAGACCACAACTTCATGGGTCACCCATCCTGCAGAGACCAGCTCAACTGTTTCCAGGGCAACCCTGAATGTTTCCCATAGTGATGCAGACAGCACATCCCCAACAGCTACCAGTTCTGGAGAAAAAGTGAGTTCAACTGTTCCAACTCTGACTGTCTCCCCTGATGTACCAGGGATGATGACCTCACAGGTAACTAGTCCTGGGGCAGAGACAAGTATGGTTATTTCAACTCTGACTGATTCCCAAGGTGATCAAGAGACCATAGCCTCATGGGGTACCCATCTGGAGGCACAGAGCAGTTCATCCATTCCAACTTCAACTGTCTCCCCTAGTGTGCCAGGGCTGGTGACCTCACTGGATACTGGTTCTGGGGCAGAGACCAGCCCAGCTAATCAAACTCTGACTGTTTCTCCTGGTGAGCTAGATACAACAGTCTCATTGGTTACCCATCCTGGGGAACAGATCAGTTCAGCTATTCCAGCTCTGACTCTCTCCCCTGGTGTATCAAGAGTAGAAATCTCACTGGTCACCAGTTCTGGGGAAGATATTAGTACAACTTTTTCAGCTGTGACTGATTCTCCGCACAAACCAGAGACAACAGCTTCGTGGGTCACCTATCCTGGGACAGAAGCTGGTTCCTTTGTTCCGACTTTGACTGTCTCTCCTCGTGAGCCAGATACAACAGCCTCATGGGACTATTCCTCAGAGACTGGGACACCTGTTTCTAGACCAACTCCGAATTTTTCCCATAGTGAATTAGACACCACATCTTCAACAGCCACCAGCCCTGGGGCAGAAGACAGTTCAGCCATTCCAAAGATGACTACCTCACCTGATGTACAAGCTATGGTGACCTTACTGGTCACTAGTTCTGTGACAGACACCAGTACAACTTTTTCAACTCTGACTGAATCCCTGCAAGAAGCAGGTACAACAATCTCATTGGTCACCCATCCTGCAGAGTCCAGCCCAATTGCTCCCAGGACAACCTCCAGTGTTTCCCACAGTGAATCAGACAGCACACCCTCAGTGGCCAGCAGCCTTGGGACAGAAGTCAGATCAGTTGTTTCAACTACACCTATGTTCCCTGGTGTACCAGATATGGAGACCTCAAAAGCCACTAGTTCTGGAACAGATGCCAGTATAATTATTCCACCTCTGACTCTTTCTTCTGGTGAACCAGCAAACACAGTCTCATGGGTTACCCATTCTGAAGCACAGACCGGTTCAACCATCCCAGCTCTGACTGTTTCACTGGTCACCAGTTCTGGGGCAGAGACCAGTACAACTTTTACAACTCTGACTGATTCCCCACGTGAACCAGAGACAACAGCCTCATGGGTCACCCATTCTGCAGAGACCAGCACACCTGTTTCCAGAATAACTCCAAATATTTTGCATAGTGAATCAGACACCACACTCTCAATGGCCACCAGTCCTGGGGCAGAAGCCAGTTCAGCTGTTCCAGCTACAACTGTCTCACCTGGTGCACCAGGGGTGGTGACCTCACAGGCCACTAGTTCTGGGGCAGAGACCAGCACAATTTTTCCAACTCTGACTGATTACTCACATGAACCAAAGACCACAACCTCATGGGTCACTCATTCTGGGAGAGAAGCCAGTTCAGCTGTTCCAACTTTGACTGTTTCATCTGGGGAGCCAGATACAACAGTCTCATTTGTCACCCATTCTGCAGAGAGCAGCCCAACTCTTCCCCAAACAACACCCAATGTTTCCCATAGGGAGTCAGACACCACACCCTCATTGACCACCAGCCCTGGGACAGAAACCAGTTCAGCTGTTGCAACTCCCACTGTCTCCTCTCGTGTACCACATATGGTGACCTTACAGGTCACTAGTTCTGAAACAGACACCAGTATGGCTATTCCAACTCTGACTCTTTCTCCTGGTGAACCAGCAACCACAGCCTCATTGGCCACTCATCTTGGGATGCAGACCAGTTCAGCCATACCAACTCTGACTGTTCCCTCTGGTATATCAGGGGTGGAAATCTCAATGGTCACCACTTCTGGGGCAGAGACCAGTACAACTTTTTCAACTCTGACTGATTCTCCACATGAACCAGAGACAAAAGCCTCATGGGTCACCCATTCTGGGACAGAAGCCAGTTCAGCTGTTCCAACTTTGACTGTTTCCTCTAGTGAGCCAGATACAATAGCTTCATGGGTCACTCATTCCACAGAGACCAGCACACCTGTTTCCAGAACAACTCTAAATTTTCCCTGTGTTGAATCAGACACCACATCCTCAGTGACCATCAATCCTGGGGCAGAAGCCAGTTCAGCTATTCCAACTACAGCTGTTTCCTCTGATGTACTAAATATGATGACGTCATTGGTCACTAGTTCTGAAGCAGAGACAAGCATAACTTTTACAACTATAACTGATTCCCCACATGAACCAGAGACCACAGCCTCATGGGTCACTCATTCTGAGATAGAAGCCGGTTCAGCTGTTCCAACTCTGACTGTTTCACCTGTGGAGCCAGATACAACAGTCTCATTGGTCACTCATCCTGCAAAGACAAGCCCAACTGTTGCTAAAAAAACCCCCAATGTTTTCCATAGTGAATCAGATGCCACACGCTCAACAGCCACAAGTTCTGGGGCAGAAGCCAGTTCAGCTGTTCCAGCTACAACTGTCTCACCTGGTGTACCAAGGGTGGTGACCTCACAGCCCACTAATTCTGGGGCAGAGACCAGTACTTTTCCAACTCTGACTGATTACTCACGTGAACCAAAGACTACAACCTCGTGGGTCACTCATTCTGGGACAGAAGTCAGTTCAGCTGTTCCAACTCTGACTGTTTTCTCTGGGAAGCCAGATACAACAGTCTCATTTGTCACCCATCCTGCAGAGACCAGCCCAACTGTTCCCCAAACATCCTCGAATGTTTCCCATAGTGAATCAGACACCACACCCTCAATGGCCACCAGCCTTAGGGTAGAAGCCAGCTCAGCTGTTGTAACTCCCACTGTCTCCCCTGGTGTACCAGATATGGTGACCTCACAGGTCACTAGTTCTGAGACAGCTGCCAGTATGACTATTCCAACTCTGACTCTCTCTTCTGGTGAACCAATGACCACAGCCTTATTGGTCACCTACCCTGGTGCAGAGACAAGCACAAATTTTCCTGCTTCAACTGTTTTTCCTCATTTACCAGAGACCACAGCCTCACCATCCATCCAATCTGGGTTGGAGATTAGTGTAGCTCTTCCATCTCAGACTGTTTCCCTCGGTCCACCAGAAACAACATCCTTCATCACACCTGTGACTGAGACCAGCAGAATTGATCTAGGTCCAACTGTTTCATTTCGTGTTCCTACAGAAACAGCCTCACCTTCCACACATCCTGGGACAGACATCAGCACAACTGTTTCAACTTCAACTCTCTCCCCTGGTTTATCAGAGACCACAGGCTTATTGGCCACTGTTCCTACAGCAGAGGCCAGTACAAGTATCTCAACTATGACTGTTTCCCCTGGTGTTCTTGGGCCTGCCAGCACCCCCACAAGAGCCGGTGAACATCATACTGTAACTTCCTGGAGCACAGAAACCTCACCACTTGCAACCTCAGTTGGACTCCCAGAATTTTCCAAGACTGTGACAGGGGACACTGTGTCCTTGGTAACATCAGAGACCCCAACACCACCTAAAACCAGTCACGGAGAAGGATCAAGTTCAACTACTACCCTGGAAAGTACAACTGTTGAGACCACTAATTTAGCTGCCACAGGTTCAGGCCCCACCGTGGCCAAGACCACAACCACCTTCAATACACTGGCTGGAAGTCCTTTTGTCCCTGTGACCACACATAGGATGTCCACCTTGGCTTCTGTGAGTGTGACTTCAGGAACAAGTAAGAATAACATTTTTTATTGTGGTTACACTTATACACATACAATATACACATAATATTTGCCATTTTAACCATTTTAAATGGACAGTTCAGCAGCATTAATTACATTCATGTTTTGTGCAACCATCGCTTCTATCTGTTTCCAAAACTTTTTTATTACCCCAAACAGGATCTGTGTACCCATCAGACAATAACTCCCCTTTCCCACCCCATTCAGGCCCTGGTAATCTGCTTACCGTCTCCATGAATTTACCTATTATAGATATCTCATATAAGTGGAGTCATATAATATACTTGTCCTTTTGTTTCTGGCTTATTTCACTTAGCATAAGGTCTTCAAGGTTCGTCCATGTCATGGTATGTATCAGAACTTCATTCTTGTTTACAGATAAATAATATTTAATTGTATGGACATACCAAATTTTATCTGTCCATTCATCCGTTGATGGACACTTGAGCCATTTCCACCTTTTGACTATTGTGAATAATACTGCTACAAACATGGGTGTACAAGTCTGTTTGAGTCTCTGTTTCTAATTCTTTTGGGATACTTAGAAAAGGCATTGTTGTGCCATTTGGTGAGTTAGTTTTTTAGGGCTGCCATAAAAAAATGCCACAAACTGAGTGTCTTAAACAACAGAATTTATTGTCTCACAGTTCTGGAGGCTGGAGGGGAGCCCTGGGAGAATGCACAGAACAAGCACCTTGGAGTCATGCCATCTCCAAGGGATGAGGGTGCTGGGGTATTTATCCACCTACTCCCATCAATCATTGCTAGAGGGATGCTCCCTGGGCCTGTTAATTTCCCCAAGACAAAGAGATGCAAATGCTGGCATGTGCTGAACTGTTACCCTTACGAGCCAAAGGGATGTGGAAGTAGGGGGACCAACTCATCCCACTTTGCCCAGGACCATCACACTTTTAAAACTGAAAATCTGCATTCCAAGAACCCACATAGTCCTGGGCAAACTGGAATGGTTGGTCACCCTATGTGGAGGGTTTTAGACAGTGACTGCTCCACAAGATGTCTCAAGTAGGACAGCCTAGGCCAGACCCCAACTCAGCACCAGTGTTAGGGTGTGTCCTCAGAGCCTTAGCTCCCACCCCCAGCCCCAGGCCTGACTCAGGCCTGGCCTCATTTTACTCTTCACCCCACCCGGCAGATGCAGCTCCTTTCTTGATGCCTTTTACTGTCAACTTCACCATCACCAACCTGCGCTACACGGAGGTCATGGGAAACTTGGGCTCTGAGATATTCAGTGCCACTGAGAGACACCTGCAGCACCTGGTGAGAGCCCCCCACCAATGCCTACCTCGTCCCAACCCTGCCCCACTCTGCTGTCTTGGCCCTCCTGCTCATGTTCTGATTCTCTCCCAGCTCGAGCCCTTGTTCAAGAACAGCAGCGTTGGTTTCCTCTATGCTGGCTGCAGATTGACCTTGCTCAGGTGAGACCTCCTCCAAAGCACCTGCAGAAACCCTAGTTCTCTTCTTTCTTGGTCCCCCACACTCTGGTCAACCACAGCTACTTGGGCCTTTGCTGAGAGACAGTATATCCTAGCGGATCCAAAGTGCCTGGGTTTGAACCCCTGCTCTCCCATTTGCTAGCTGTGTGACCCTGGGCAAGTCACATAACCTTTCTGTTCTTTAATCACATTGTCTATAAAATGGTGATAATAACAGTACCCTACTCTCGGGGTTGCCTGGCCCATTGTGAGTGCTCAATTAATGGAATCTCATAGTACCAGCTGGTGTAGCATCTTTACCAACCGTGTCCCCAGAATCCCTGACACTTTCCCTGCCCCAGCTCATCTCTACCCTATTGGGGACAAACTCTGGACACTGCAGTTCTACAGTGTATTCCCTGAAAATAGGTAGGGACTTTCCCAAGGAAGTCTTACTGAACCAAAGAGAAAAACAAACCAAATATTGGGTCCTGGCAGCACATATTGCAATTTAAAAATTCAAATGGACCTGATCTCTGCAGAAATGGCCTGTCTCTTCCTCTCTGTCTGTGTCCATCTGGTGTCCTCTGAGGTCAGTGGGCTCAGGACCCTTTCCTGACACTTCATGCCCCTGTGGCCTCTCTGTGGGGTCCTCCATCCAGCCAACTCAAATCGTCCTGCCAGAAAGGTGGGTCCTCTACCCCTATTGCGCCATGAGGAGAGATTCCAGGAGTATTCTAGAATAAAACTGTCCTCAAATGAGCTGCACTCATCACACCTGTCCCCATCTCTCCATAACATGGGGAATCAATAATAATAATATTGTCCACACTACATGCCACCCAATAATCTAAGGGGTTTACATGTTTTCATCCATTTCATCCTCACAACAACACGATTATTATCCCACCTTGCAGATGAGAACACTGAGATTCAGAGCAGTCAAGTTGCTTGCTTCAGAAGAGCCAGGATTTGAACTGAGGTGTTCTGGATCTAGAATCCCTACCTTTAGCCAGGATAGCAGCAGAATGCAATCTCTCTGGGATCAACAACATTTACATTCTTAAAAAGTACTCAGAACTCCCAAGAGCCTTTGGACTTGGGGATTATATCTGCCCAAATTTACTGTATTAAAAATTAAAACAGAAATTTTATAAATATTTACTCATTAATTCATTAAAATAATAAACTCATTACATGTTAACATAACATATTTTTATGAACAATAGCCATATTCGTTTCCCGCTTAAAAAACATTTTAAGAAGAAGATCATTGTTTATATTTTTGCAGATCTTTTTAATGTTTGGCTTAGTAAGAGACAGCAGGATATCTGCTTTTGCATTCAATCTTTTACAATATTTCATCTAGTGACCTCTGGAAAAAATTTCACTGTATACACCTGCGAGAAAAAAAGTGAAAATAATGTCTTAGTATTATCATAAAAATATGTTTTACTTGGTGGATGCCCTGTAAAATTTTGGGAACACCAGGGGTCCCTGGACCACGCTTGAGAACCGCTGCACTACACTATATGGGCATAAAATGGGAATGCTTTGAATAGCATGGATAATAGCAAGCAGAATTCCCAGGCAAGAGAAGAAGGGGATCTTTCTTCCTACCTGTAAAGCCCCTGCTTTGGGTGAATCACTGTAGGATCAGCTCAAATTCAGGACAAAGGTATTTTTGAACCGCATTGCCCCCTTATTACTTCCCAACTCATTTTCTCTGTTTTTCTCCAAATTTGGTTGCCTGCCCAAAATGTGTTCCCAAAGAGCTGACCTCAGCCTTGGGATCCACCAACTTGAAATAAAGTTCCCCTTTTCAGGCTCCGTGATGGTTGTTGCACTGCCAGTCATGAGGGTGATGCACTCACCTTCCCAAAGGTCAACAACCCTCCTGTTTTTTCCCTTCCACATGCTGCCTGGCCCCAGGATTCTCAGGATTTTCCTCCCTGGGAGATCCACATCCCCAACCCCATGGCCCAAGCAGGACTCAGCTGTTACTAGAGTGGTCACCATGTGTATTTACCTTCATGAGTGGACAGGGAGTGTTCTAGGGACTGGTAATGGAAACAATGAGCTTGAACCAATTAATAAAAAGAATGAGGAGCAGCAGAAGAAAGCTAGCTAAGGAGTAGCCCTGGAGAATGCTGCATTTAAGAAGGTGAGGGGTCTGGATCCCCACATGAGACAGAAAAGATGTGTTCGAGAAAGCAGATGAAACCCAGGGAAGAGTTCTGGTGTCAAAACCAAGGGGTACAATTGAGGAAGGAGTTGTCAAGAGCATCCAACTTTCAAGTGTCTCTGCACATCCCTATTCCCATGTTTCTCCTTCTCCAGGGCTGAAAAGGATGAAAGAAGCACCAAAACGGACATGGTCTGCACTTACCGCCCAGATCCCACAGGCTTCAGGCTGGACAGAGAACGGCTGTACTGGGAGCTAAGCCAGAAGACCCATGGTGTCACTCGGCTGGGACCCTATACCCTGGACAGGAACAGTCTCTATGTCAATGGTGAGTTTCTCTTCTGCAGCTGGGGTCTCCTCTTGCTCCCCAGATGGGGTCTCCTTGCAGCGCAATTTCTCTGTACTCATGTTCATAGCTCTGAGCCAACCTAGAATTTCCATGGGGGCTCAGTTCTCTCTCTCCGTAACACCTAAAAAGCACCTTTCAAGTTCTGGAAATAAAGGTTTCCTCCACAGTCTTCTTCATTCTAATGACCATTCACAGAAGCCCCTATGGAGCATGCAGAAGGCGAGCAAGAGAGTAAAGCAAGCCCATGGTGGCCATTGGGATTAACTCTTCCTCAAGAGACAATGGCTTCCCAATGAAGTGACTTATCCTTTTATTTATCTTCTTTATGGCAGCTTGTGGCCCTTTACCCATTCTCCAAGGGCCAGCTGGAACTACACCCCGCCCCCCAAGAAACAAACAACAAAGCTGTTAGTAATGTTTATAGCAATAAATTCCTTTGCAACAATGCCCTTAGCAACAACACCCATAATAATACCTATACTAAAGACTAATATTTTTTGAGGGATTCCTATGATCCAGGATGTTGTACGTATTATGCCTTACTAACCCTGCCCAACACACCATGAGGTATTATGTGTATTTTCCAGAGGAGCAAATAAAGCTCAGGAAGGGAAATCCATTTCCCCAAGATTAGACAGCTAATATACAGGGTAGAGTCAAGACTCAAACTCTCAATTGACTCTAAAATCTAGGCCCCCTAACTACTAGGCTACACTGCAGACTAACCCAGCTAGAGCAAGCCTCAAACCTTTGGATGGGAAGGCATATCAACGGGTCTGTAATATAACAATTTAAACTAAAGCTCAATATTTATCCCCACTATATCACCTTGGACATTTTCTTTCTACCTGGATTAAAACTTGTATTTTATTTCAATAGTCCTTGGCAATTACTTAAAAGTGATAGTTTTATGGGTTTTGGTGAATTACAGGTCTTGCTTTAATTAATCCCTGGTCTTTCCTTTTGCTTGCTATGTGGCCCTGAGCAAGCCATGCAACCTCTCTAGGCTTAGTGTCCATTTTTAGAATGGAATTTTTTAAAAAATCACCTAAGATTTGTGTGAGGAGATGAGATAAAACCCAAATAACCCAAGTAAATCACAGAGCTCCACTTGGTTCAGTCTCAGAGAGGAGTTTCATTTCAAGAAACCCAGTCAGACCGTTAAATATAAAAGAAGTCTAGGGTCCGGCCCCGTGGCTTAGCGGTTAAATGCACGATCTCCGCTACTGGCGGCCTGGGTCCCGATCCTGGGTGCACACCGACACACCGCTTGTCCAGCCATGCTGAGGCAGCGTCCCACATACAGCAACTAGAGGGGTGGGCAACTATGATGTACAACTATCTACTGGGGCTTTGGGGAGAAAAGGGGAAAAAAAGGAGGAGGATTGGCAATAGATGTTAGCTCAGGGCCGGTCTTCCTCACAAAAAAAAAAAAAAAAGAACTCTTAAGTTTTACTTGCATTACTTTCGGAGCATCAAAGAGGATCTGGTCCACAATCCAGAACCATATTTGTTCTAATCCTCCTTTCCCCATTTTCTCTTATTCTCCAACTTTATATTCTCTGGCTGACCTCCAAGTCTCTCCCCTCTCCATAAATCACCCCCCTCCCTCTCCCTCTCCCTTTCTCTCTCTGTCTCTATCACTCGCTCTCTCCCTAATTATCTCAATTCAACATTACAGAAGTCCAAGAACTAAGCTGTCACAAATCAAGCTATCTTTGGAGAGTTGGGTGTGGGGACAAACTCAGAAACTCAGCAAGGACAAAATTATAGTTAATGAATGAAGAAAACACAAATAAGGCTGGAAACACTCACATAAATTTGTTGTCCCTACTAGTCATTTGATGAGGTTGATACTATTCCAGGCACCTAGTAAACCCCACAAGATTGAGAGTGCCTTGATCATTATTGTCTTTGTGGTTAATGGTAATGAGGATGAAATATTAGGTGTGTCAAAGTATGAGGCAGTTAACTCATATGGAGTAGCCATCCTTATTTATTGATGAATCTCAGAGAAACACTCAGGAAGATCTGTGAGATTGTGTTTCTAGTTCTATCTCATCATTCTTTTCTTAACTTCCTCCTTTCATCTTACTCTTCCTCTCTGCCTCTCTCTGCAGGTTATAACCATCAGTATTGGATCCCCACCACTAGCAGTAAGTAATGAGGGTGCATGTCCCTGTGCCCCTGGGACCCTTCCTCTCTACAGCCTGCCCCCTGAGAGGAAAGTATTCCCCATTTCCCAGGTTCTGAGCCCCAGATACCCAAAGTCTCAGGCTAAGCCAAGCTAGAGATGCAAGTTCCCATGAACAGCTCTGTCCTCTCATTGCTTCATGATGGAGCTCAATAATTTTTATTCATGTTGAATTTTCATTCAGCTCTAATGACCTCCACATTCTTTCCAGGACCCCCAGCATCTCTGGCTTCCACCCCCAGCTCTACAGGTGGGAATCTAATCTGTGAGTCCCATGAAACTTCAACTGCCATTCAGGGGCTGATGAATTCCTGCATGATCTGGACCCTGATGCCCACCCAGCCTCAGCCTGTCTCACTGTCTACCTTGCTCCCTGAGCTCTGGCCACAGCAGCCTCATTTTTGTTCCTCCAGGGCTCAACCATCTCTCCATCCTCAGGGCCTTTGTGCTTGCTTTCCTTGGAACTCAGCTGTGCCTGGTTCCTCCTTGTCCTCCAAATCTCAGCTCAGCATGCTCTTTCTCAGAAAAGCTATTAAGTAAAATTTCCTCACCTCCCACACAGAACTAATCTCTATGATCATTTAATGCATGGAAATTACTACTATTTGGATTTATTGACTTCTCGAGTATTTGTGGTCCATGGCCTGAGCCCAAAAGGTCTTGGTCCCTCCTCTTCCCACCAAAATGTCCATGATTTGTCAGCCTTTGGACACTCTGGGATGACAGGATTGAGGTTCTCTTTTAAGCTGACAACACACATCTAATATGGAGGTCCCTTCTCCTCCCATGGCTAGCTGAGGAGGGAGGCTACCCTCGATGGGATATCCCAGGCCTCATCTACTGGAGACTATGAACGGAGAGATGGCACTGGTCCCTTTCTCTCATATTCAGATCAGGCCTAAGATTGTGATGGGTTTCCTTTCTCTCTCCCTCCAACTGCAGATGTTGGCCCAGCCTTGGTGCTGTTCACACTCAATTTCACCATCACCAACCTGTTCTATACATCAGACATGGGGCACCCAGGCTCTGTGAAGTTCAACTCCACTGAGAAGGACCTGAATCACCTGGTAAGAGCCCATCAATGCCTACGCTGGTCTACTTTGTTCTTGCCGCACCCAGTCCCCTCAGCTCACCTCCTTCTCCCTCCTCCCTAGCTTGATCTTTTGTTCAAGAACACCAGTGTTGGTCCACTGTACTCTGGCTGCAGACTGATCTTGCTCAGGTAAGACTTCCATCCCTCACAACATGAAGGGCTGTTCTGTCCCAGGCAAGCTCACCTAGAGGCGAGGACCTGAACATGACAACTAGAAGGCAGGAATCATAAATAACTGGGGCATTCCAAGAATTCAGATGTGGAAGGCAACCCTCTGGTTGAGTGCATCAAAAAGAGCTTCCTGAAAGAAGTGGCTGTCGAAGATCTTAAATTATTTCGATAAGCAGATCCATAAAGCATTCACATTCATCAGTCAGAGAGGGCAGCATTGACTCATTAAACAAACACAAAATGAGGCAGTTTAGGCCATGCCCTATGACAGCTGCTAAGGGCACTGAGAGAATCTGTCATAGACCATAACCTCAAGGTGCCCACAATGTAGAGAGAACAACAGCCATATGGACTTAAAGCCATAACACGAAGAGGATTAGTACAATAATAAAGCACTACACAGAGGCCATAGGAGCCCAGAGAATGGACTTTTATGGGAATTGCTTGGAGGCTGTCTGGAGAAAGTGATGCCTAAGCCAAGTTTTGAGAGTCGAGTGTGCATTAGCCAGAAGAAATATTGGCAAAGATATTTCAAGGCGTAGCATATCTTAAGTAATGAGATAAACGTGAGAAATATCCTGGTACATGAGAAAAGTTCTGTGAAATTGGAGAGCAGAGTGTGGGACAAACATCAAATGAAAGAAAGAAAGAGAGAAAGGAAAGACAGAAACATAAAAGACAGAAGGAAGGAAGGAAGGAAGGAAAGAAGGAAGGAAGGAAAGAAGGAAGGAAGGAAGGAAGGAAGGAAGGAAGGAAGGAAGGAAGGAAGGAAGGAAGGAAGAAAGAGAAATAAAGGAAGGGAGAGAGGGAGGGAATGAAGTTGGTTGGCTGGGGGACTGGCTGAGTGATGGATGGGTGCACGGGAGTGTAGTTGCATGAGTGGTGGATAAATTGCAGGATGAGTTTGGAGTAGTAGATATCATCAAGAGTTCAGGTTGGAGCAGGGGTCAAAGGCCATACTAAGGAGCACAGCAAAAGGTTAAACATTAATGGTTTCAATGTCCAAATGCATGAAGTCACATCCTGTTTCTGTCACTAGCCATGTGATGTTTGGGAAGTTCTATATGACTTTGTGTCCTCAACTATAAAATGGGAATCATGTCAGCGTCTATCTCATAGCGTTGCTGAAAAGGTAAAAAGAGACAGCAAATGTAAAAGTAGAGCATGTATGTATTCCGTAAATGTTAAGTAGTGGATATTCCATAAATAATTGTTATGTTTATTCAGAGCTGTGGCAAACCATGGAGCTGTTGAAAGTAGAGCCCTCATATGATGTCATTTATTTTAAGTGGAGTACTGGTAGATACAGAGATGGAAAAATTTGACGTGATAATGGGACAGGAGATGGGGAGACCCATGAGACATTGGACTGGACCTGGATATTACTTGGACAATGGTTGGAGGAAGGTTCAGGAAGCCTCTTACATCTCTGGCTCTGGCACTGATGTGGAAGCATGGGAGGAGGAGCAGGTTCTGTTTTGGGGGAGAAGATGATGAGCTTAATTTGGGATATATGGAATGTAATAGGTCTGTAGGAATCCCTGAGGCTGTTGTTACATGGTACAGAGCTCAGGAGAGAGGTTTTCGCCAGAGAGAGGGAGATTGAATCTCATGACAATAAAGCTGGTAGCTGAAACAATGTGTATGAATCAAATGACCCAAAAAGAATGATAGGCAAAAGAATAGAAGTTGGCTGAGGATGAAGTCTTAGAGATCAACCACTTTATGAAATAGGAAGGTACCTAGATGAAGAGGACCCAGAAAAGAATGTGCCCGAGAAACCAGACAAGATCCAGTAAAGAGAAATGTCATAAAACCTACAATTGTTTGTGGGTCGATTTGAAGGAGAGAGTTGAACAAAGTACATAACTCTCCCATAACTGTGGATGCCCCCACTCCCATGTTCCTGCCACCCTAGGACTGAGAAGAATGGGGCAGCAACTGGAGTGGACACTGTCTGCACCTTCCATCCTGACCCCATGGGTCCTTGGCTGGACAGAGAAGATCTGTACCAGGAGCTGAGTCAGCTGACCCATGGTGTCACCCAGCTGGGCACCTACACCCTGGACAGAGACAGACTGTACGTCAATGGTGAGTGTCCATGCTGCAGCTGGGGTCTCCTACAGTTCCATGTCTCTCCATACCAGCAGTTCTCAAATGGGGGCAGTTCTGTTCCCAACGGGACAATTGGCAATGTCTGGAGACATTTCCATGTCATGACTGGAGGGGTGCTAATTACATCTAGTGAGTAGAGGCCAGGGATGCTGTTAAACATCACACAATGCACAAGGCAATCCCCCACCATGAAGAATTATCTAGACCAAAATGTCAATAATGCTGAGCTTGAGAAATTACTGTACACAGATTCATATTTCCGGTACAAATCTAGCATTTCCTTGGGGGCTTATTTTTGAATGCTTAACACACCATGGGAGGCCTATTTCCTTTCGCTTTTCACCTCTTGGGATGAAATGTTTCCTCCTCCACGTGCCCACTGCTTCCCGTTGGAGCCCATCTGGATCGTGCAGACTCTGGGGAAAGATGATGAAGGGCCCTTCAGTTAAGTCTTCCTGATGGGCAGTGGGTGCCCAGTTCAGCCTCACTCCACTTCATTCTCTCCATCATGTCAACTTAAGGCAATTTTCTAAGTTTCCACAGGCCAGCCGGAATGACACTGACTTCACGAAGCAGCACTGCACTTAACAAACACCCCATGAATAATAGCTGTTTACGCAACACTGTTGGCAACCATGCCCCTAACAGCAATGCTAACACTGAGAATAATAACTATAACAGTGGCTAATCTTATCAAAGGTTTCTTATGTGCCAGGAATTGTGATAAAGTCTTTATTTGTATTATCTCATATTAATCTTACTTGAAAACCTGTGAGTTATTATCCTCATTTTTACAGAGAGCCAACATGCATTCAGACAGGAAGTCATTTGCCTGAGATAATCCACCTGTAATGCATGGTGGAGTCAAGATTCAAACCCAAGATTGAGTCTAAACTCTAAGTTCCTAACCACAAGGCAACACTGCAGACCATCCAGATAGAGAAAGCCTGAAATCTCAGGACAGGATGGGGCATTAGTGACCCTAACCTAACAATCTAAGCTAACGCTTGATAAGTTATTTCCCCTCCATATCAACTTGGAAATATCCTTTATATATGGTTTGAAATATATATTTCTTTGTATTAACAATAGCACATCCTGTTTTGTGTCCATAGAAGGTTTAATTCCCGGACTAGAACTAACATAAAGCAGTGGTTAATATTACGGGGATTGGTGAGTGACAGATCTCTGTTTTGTGTGATGCTGGACAAGCCACGTCACCTCTCCTGGCTTTAATGTCCCATTTGTAAAATGGAATAAACATACACACGAGGGTCCGACCCCGTGGCGTAGTGGTTAAGTGCCTGCGCTCTGCTGCTGGCGGCCCAGGTTCAGATCCCGAGCGTGCACCGAGGCACCACTTGTCAGGCCATGCTGTGGTGGCATCCCGTATAAAGTGGTGGAAGATAGGCACAGATGTTAGCCCTGGGCCAGTCTTTCTCAGCAAAAAAGAGGAGGATTGGCATGGATGTTAGCTCAGGGCTTATCTTCCTCACAAAAAAAAACAAAAAACCATACACACGAAGCAGGATTGTCTTGATAATCAAACGAGATAATTCAGCAGTAACCCAAGTAAATCACAAGGCTCCTCGAGTCCAGTCTTTACTCACATCTCTCACAGAGCATCAAAGGAGATGCAATCCATGATCCAGAGAAATAGGCATGAAAAATTCTCTTTTCCCCAATTCCTTTCAGGCTGCAATTTCTATACTATCCACCTGACCTCCAAGTCTCTTCTCTTTTTCACTACCCCACCCCATCTCCAAATTTTCTCTAATATTCTGAGCCATATGTACATTCCTCTTTCTCCATCTCACTATACTTTCACCTCCACATACCACTCTCTCAACCTGCCACAATTTTGTCAATTATGCATCACAAAAAAACAGAAACTAAGCTAGAAAAATAAAATCATACCATCCTAAAATTTTGTAAATGGAGAAAGGCTGAGAGAGTAAGGACAAAAATAATTTTATGGATTGAGAGAATGTGGAGAAGGCTTGGAACACACACTCAATAATAAATTTGCCCCATTACCCTTGTAATATGTTCAGCATTATTTCTGGTGCATAGTACATTCCCAATAAATACAGGCAGCTATTATTATCATAATTTTATTTTGGCAATAATAATGGTGATGATATTCATCATTACTTTCACAGGACAAGGCATATAAGAGGCACCACATAAAATGTAGCTGTTATTGTTCATTGACATTATTGATTGATATTATTCATTATAGATATTATTCATTTTTGATGTTGTTGTGAATCTCAGAAAGTTTGTTAATGACTTTCATAGGTCTACCATCCACCCCTTTCTTAATTCTTACCCATCATAACAATCCTTCTTTACTCTTTTCTTCCTATTCGCAGGTTATAACCATCGGCACTGGACCCCTACCACCAGCAGTGAGTATTCAAAACTGTGCAACTTCAATGCCTACTAGACCCTTACTCACCAGAGTGTATTTTTCAGGAGAGAAACTACCAATGCCCCCTCCCTAAGTGCCTGGCTACAGCCTCAGAGCAGCCCCTAACCCACCCAAGTTCTTGCTCTGAGTCAAAACAGAAGCCCAAATTCCAATGAAGAGCTTCTGCCTCACATTCCTTCAGGATGGGACTCAATCATCTTTCCTGTATCTTTTTTCTCAGCTCCAGTGACTTCTACATTCTCTCCAGAATCTTCCACATCTCTGTCCCCCATCCTCAGCTCTACAGATAGGAACCTGCTCTCTGGGACCTATGCAACTTCAACCCTGTATGGTCTGGTCCCTGTTAACCACCCAGCCTCAGCCTGCCCGGCTCATTCTCTCCCTCACTCTCTAAACTCTGCTCTCATCAGACGGTGGTCGGTTCTTCTAGTGTCCTAACCTCTGTCTGACCTTTATACTAGCTATTCCTGGAGATTAGCTATGCCTGGCACCTTATTGCCTTCCAAATCTCAGCTCAACCATCACCTTCTCAGAAAGACCTTCCTAGACCATCTTATATGAAGTAGCACTTCTCCTGAATACACGCCTGGCCCACAGGTTTTCTCTGTCAAATCACCATGGTATTTCTTTCATGGAATTTACTACTATTTGCTTTATTCAGTCTTTATGTATTTGTCACTTGGAGCTGAGCACCGAGTCCACACTCGCTTTATCTTCATTGCTTGGGCGAATGGATGGATATAGCAATCTCTGTATATGTCCACGTTTGTGGATTCTATTTGAACATCCAGAAAATCATTCAGGATCTTAGTCATGAGTTTGATTCTTGTCCTGTTTCCTCATCTTGCCCAGATGTGGGTCTGAGGGCTCTTGAGTCTCCAGGAACCTGATATAGGGGCTTGATTTATGCTGTAAAAGCTGTCTTGGGGCTGGCCCCATGGCATAGTGGTTAAGTTTGGGGCACTCTGCTTCAGTGACCCAGGTTTGTGGGTTCAGATCCCAGGCATGGACCTACATCACTCATCAGCCATGCTGTGGTGGTGACCCATATACAGAATAGAGGAATATTGGCACAGATGTTAGCTCACAGTGAATCTTCAACAACAACTACAACAAAAAAAAAAAAAAAAAAAAAGCTGTCTTACCCAAGCCCTTAAGATTTATTTTAAAAAATGAGTCTATGTGTCTTTTTCATGCTTATATCGTAACCCAAACTGGGCATCCCTGGCCCTTAACCCTGCCTTGTGAGTCTGGAGTTATGGGATACAATCTGGTGTCCTGTAATTAGAATTCTGCCTTCAAACATTCTGTGTTTTGTGAGTCAAGACACTGCAAACTTTCTACATGCTTTAGAAAGGATGCACATTCTCCACTTCCTCACTGCTCTATCCTGATCAATTCAGCCATTTATGTAACATGACTAGCTCCTGCAGGCTTTTAAATATGTGACATGTGCTATAAACCAAGTCATTCCATGATTGGTGATGTCGTTTTATTCTAGATACCTTCAAGATTTGTTTTTCATCTTTAGCTTTGAGCAGCTTGATTATAATGTGTATGGGCATGGTTTTCTTTGAGTTTATCCCGTTTGGGATTTTCTAAGCTCCTAAATCTGAAAAGGACGTTTTCAAGAAATTTGGGAAGGTTTCAGCCACTATTTCTTCAACAATTTTTTCTGCACTAATCTCTTTCTCTCATTCTGGTCCTCCAATGAAATGATATTGTCCCATGGATCCCTGAGGCTCTGTTTATTTTTTTTATCAATCTTTTTTTTCTCTGTCTTTCAGATGTAATAATTTCTTTTCATGTATCTCCCAAATCACTGACCCTTTTCTCTATCATCTCCTTTCTGCCCATCAAGTGAATTTTTTATCTCAGATACTGCATGTTTTAGTTCTAAAACTTCCATTTGATTCTTTTTTATATAGTTTCAATTTCTTTACTGAGAAATTCTATCTTTACATTTATTTCAAGTGTGTTTACATTTACCTCATGGATCATAGTTATAACAGCTGCTTTAAAGTCAGTGCCTGATAATTCCAACATCTGGGTTACCTTGGAGTTTGTGTCTATCAACTCTCTTTCCCTTGAGGATTGAATACATTTTTTTTCTGGTTCTTTGTATGTCAAGTAATTTTAGACAATATCTTAGGCATTGTAAATGTTATGTTTGCATAGACTCCAGGTCCTGTTATCCTCTTGGGAATGTTTTTATTGTTTTTGTTTGTTTTAGCGAGTAATCAGTTCTCTTCTCTCTGGCCTACAGAAGCCCCATTTCCTAGTTCCATTTAACCAGAAATATGGGATTTCTATCATAACTTTATCTTTACCTATGCCCTTACTCTCTCATACACAGCTCTATGACTGGGATCAGCCCACAGAATAAATCTATGAGAGAAAATAGGGATAAAAAGAATAAAACATATCCTTGTGCAGTCACTTCTCCAAGTTTTGACTGTTCTCCACAATCTACCTGTTTTTGTTTACTTTTCGGCATCCTGGGTAGTTGCTTTTCATATTTTGTCTAATAGTTTTAATTGTAATCAATGACAGAGATAGGCTGTAATGGACTTAGTCTACCTTGCCCAGAGTCTTAATGCATTTAATCTTAATGGATTCATTTAACCCAAACCCTAGGAGATAGCTACTACCATTATCACCATTCTATAGAGGATAAAATTGAGGCACAGTGATGTTACGTATCTTGTCCAGTCAACCATCTAATAAGTAACAGAGCTGGGATTCAAATTCAGACATCCAAGCTCCAGGGCCTACGTCCCAATCTTTATATCATAGGGGAGATGTGGATTTTCTGGGGGGAAATACATTGATTTTTTTATGTATATTATTGTTTCTTATAATTTTTAATTATGGTAAAATACACATAACATAAAATTTAGCATCTTGACTATTTTTAAGTGTACCTTTCAGTAGTGTTAACCATATTTACACTGTGCAACCAATCTGCAGAACCTTTTCATCTTACAAAACTAAAACTCTATACCCATTAAACAACAATCCCTATTTCCCCTTCCCCCCAGCCCCTGCCAACCACCATTCAACTTTCTGTCTTTACAAATTTTACTACTCTAGATACCTCATATAATATTGTATGTGGAATCTTACAGTATTTGTCTTTTTGTGACTGGCTTGTTTCACTTAGCATAATGTCCTCAAGGTTCATCCATATCGTAACGTGTCAGAATTCTCTTCCTTTTTAGGGCTAAATAATATTCCATTGTATGGATATATCACATTTTGTTTATCCTTTCATCTGTTGATGGACACTTGGTTTGCTTTCACCTTTTGGCCATTGTAAACAGCGCTGCTATGAACATGTGTGTACAAACAGAAACATACCTATTTTTGAGCCAAAGAGACATTGTAGCTGTGTCATTTCTTTGTCTTTGGGACTTTGGACAATTTATTTTCTCTGAGCCTCAGTTTCCCCATCTGTAAAATGGAACTGATAAGACTTACCTCTCATGGTTGTGGTGAGGGTGAGCTGGGATGCTGTAGATGAAGCACCCAGCACAAAGGCTAGCACATGGTGCTCACAGATGAGATATGTGGAGGGTACAGTCATCCAGCCTATTGATTCTTCATACTCTAATCCCAGGCTGACAATTCCTTTATTTTTCATACTGGGGCACTTTTGAGAAAGAAAAGGGGGTTGAAATTAATATTTGCACGAGTGTAACATGATCGTCCAGGGAAAATCAGGAGATGTGGCCACTCCATCTAAAATCCACTCTTCAAAGATGCTTAATGAAGCTGAAGCAAGGGTCATTCTCATAGGGGGAACAGCCTTGACCACTCAGCAGCTGCACATTTTCTCATGGAGAAGTCAGAAGACTAAGGGAGATCTCTGCCCCAGGGGGCAGCAGAGTGGCTTTACTTCTCTTCCTCCCACCAAAATGTCTACCGATTGTTTGCCTTTAGACATATTTGGCTGAAAAGTGTTGAGGTTCTTTTTCCAGCTAAAATCATCCATTCAATATGAAGACCCCTCCCCCTCTCTAAGTTCGTCTGGATCCAAGGGAGACACAAGTGGGACATCTTAAACCTGATTCGCTGGACATTGAGGCTAAGGTGACAACACTGGACCCGTCGCTTACAGCCATTGCAGCCAGAGATCATAATGAACTCCCTCTCTGCCTTTCCTGCAGCAGGTGTGAGCCCTTCTCTGGTACCCTTCACCCTGAACTTCACCATCACCAGCCTGCACTACACAGAGGACATGAGGCCCCCAGGATCTGAGCTGTTCAACACCACGGAGAGGATCTTGAATCACCTGGTGAGAGACCCTCCAATGTCTGCTCTTGTCCTGCCCAGCCCTGTGACCCATCTACTCACCTCCCCCTCTTTCATCCCCAGCTCAGACCCTTGTTCCAGAACACCAGTATTGGGCCCCTGTATTCTGGCTGCAAATTGACCTTGCTCAGGTGAGACCTTCAGAGTAGACGTGAAGGCAATATATGGGGGAGGTGACCACCAGCTGGGCCCTAACTCCTGCACCCACAATTCCAGGGACAGCTGACCACCAGTTCCCACTCTGCCTCACATTTTGTTCTTGACCAGAAAATGCAGAATCCCCTTAGTCTCTCCTTCCCAGGAGATAAGGTTGAACTTTCCAGAAAGACGTTTTTTCTGGAACTCATCTAGAAAACAGTTAGTCATTCATGTCAGCTTCATCACGACAGAGCAGTAGTGATAGAACCAGGAGTGATTTTGCTCCCCAGGGGATATTTGGAAATCTCTGGAGACGTTTTTGTTGTTACAGCTCAAGGGTGGGGGTTGCTACCAGCATCTAGTGACTAAGGCCAGGGATGCTGCTAAATGTCCTACAATGCACAGGACAGTCTCCCAGGGCGAAGAATTATCTGACCCGAAATGGCCATGATGCCAAGGTTGAAAAACCTTGCTCTAGAGGATGCACACTTCTATCTCCTGCTTTTGTCACATTTTGGCTAATGATTGGCCTGTCCGTAATACCTAGCAAGCCCTCCCTTCTCCTACTATCGCCCAGCAATAACCAAATCTTGCTTTCTGACCAAGCAGAGGTGGACTTGGGATGTCTGCCCACCCCCAGAGGGATTACTGAGCAGTAAAGCACAGTGGTTATACAGTTTTATTTGGGGTCTGACAGTTTTATTTGGGGTCTGACATGACTATGTTCAAATCCTAGCTCCCCTACTTCCAGGCTGTGTGACTCTGACAAGTTAACGAATATCTCTGCACCTCAGCCTCCCCACCTGTCAATCAGAGGTGCTCAATGTGCTTTTCTGCATAAAAAATTCAGCCCATGATCCTGCTGGATGGTGACTTGGGCTGGATCCTGTTGGGAGATTCTCCTGCCTGGGCTGGCTCAGCTGATCTCAAATGAGGCTCATTTATGTGTCTGCAGTCAGCTGCTGGCTGGAGGACCTTGGTTCTCCTCCACATTTTCTCATCCTCCAGCAGGCTGGCTTGGGCTCATGCACATGTTCAGAGTTCCAAGAGCAACAAGAATTGGCAAGCCCTAGTGCACATGTGCTTTCCAAGGCTCTGCTTACTCACATTTGCTAACGTCCCTTGGTCAATGCCAGTCATGTGGCCAAGCCAAGATTCAAGTGATGGGCAAATAGACTTCACTTCTGACTGGCAGGAAGAATTTGTAGTCTTTTGTGTAAGCACAAAAAGCAGTAAGGATTAAAATGAAAGGTGCTTAGCAAAGCACCTAACTTATAGAAAACATGCAGTGAATTATTCACAGCCCTTCTTAGACCTAGGTACTGAGAATGACTCCAGCATGTGGGAACTCCCACATGTGCACTTGGGTCACCTTACTCCTAGCTTGATGTCTCCCAGTTATGGACTTTTTGTCTGAGGATGGAATGCCCCCTGCTCCAAAAATACTCAACATTGTCCTCCAACCGTGATGCTATGTTTTCCCCTTTCCACTGGCCCTGAGATGTTTCTGAATCTGGGATACCACACAGTCCCATCCCCACCTCCACCCTAGGCTGCCTGCTTGGCCTCAGTGTTGCCTTCAAAAAGGTCAGTCTCTCTCATTGCAATGTCTATTCACACCAAGAATGTTGGTCCTCTTAATACCCAATAAAAATGACTCCCTTTTATTGAGCACTTACTAGTGCTAAGTGCTGTGAGATCTGTCTTATTACTTCATTTGAGAGATGAAAAAATGAGCCACAGAGAGATTGAGAGACTTAGCCAGAGTCACCCAGCAATTGAGTAGCATAGCTTGGATTTAAGTAATTTCATGTTGCTTTCTTTCACCTTGTCAAATTCCCAGATTCCTTCTTTCCACCCAGCCTGTCACGCTTTTGTTGTTAGGATGTGTGTAGCCTTGTTATGATTGACAATTTTAAAGTTTAGCACAAATATCAACACTGGGAGATGCTACATCCTCTGCATTCAGGGATCTTGGCTGTCCTATTAATTTCCAACCCTCCCCTGGCACCAAGGCCATTCCAGGCTGCCCACCAGGCCTCCTGCTTTCTGTGTCCCCTCCCTCAGTGAGGCCTTTCAGGGCTCCTGCCTGGAGTCCCCACCTCCCTATCCCTGTGTCCCTCCCTGCCCAGGCCTGAGAAAGATGGAACAGCCACTGGAGTTGATGCCGTCTGCACTCACCTTCCTGACCCTGTGAGCTCTAAGCTAGACAGAGAGAGGCTGTACAGGGAGCTGAGCCATGAGACCCTTGGTGTCACCCAGCTGAGCTCCTTCACCCTGGACAAGGACAGCCTCTATGTCAATGGTGAGCATCCTTTTAGTAGCCACAAATTGAAGCTGAGAATCTGCCCCCAGAAGGGATGTGGACTCTCCAGTTTTCCCCAGGACTCATCCTATGTATCACGTTCCACCTGAGCAATCTCCCTGATGACTCGAGGGCCCCCAAGGCCCTCCAGTTTGAAAATCCCTCTCTTCCCTTTGCGTCTCCGCATCCAGGGACATGATTTGTACACTTGTCTGAGGCACAAAAGCCTTTCTCCAGACAGATGAAAGAGAATATCCCTCTGTTTGAAGCCAATGGCAATTCAAGAATCTGGCTATTCATCTTTCTCCCCACCACCATCTCAAAATCCCCTCTAGACCCTGAGAAGCACAGTTAGCAAACCCATGTTCTAGAAATGTTGGTATAGTTATCATCTCAAATAAATTGCAAGCCCCTGAAGACAGGGACTGGGTCTTTGGTTTCTCAGCCCTTTAGGAGCAAGATATAGTTGCTCCTAAATCATAACGATGGAACTGTACAGACTTGAAGTCTCAGTTGGGGGTGGGAGCTAGTGGGCCTTGGGATTATCTTGGACAGGCTTGCATCCCAATGCTGTCTCTTTTTCTCATTGCAGGTTACACCCATCAGACCTCAGCCCCTACCCCCAGTGGTGAGTACTCAGGACCCTGATGACCATGTACTCTGGGCCCCTTGTGGACAGCAACCGATCCCCCCACTCCAGGGCCTCGGTGGCAGAAGAAGCCAGAGGACCTGTCACCCCCCCTACATTCAATGGCTCAGACTGGAAAGAAAAGATGTACACAGTGGCATCCATACCCCACTCCGAATCCCCATTCTCACTTTAAATCATTTCTCTTCAGCTACTGTGACCTCCGTGCTCTTCCCACGGACCTCAGTGGTGCCAGCCCACTTCTCCAGCTCCACAGGTAGGTGATTTCTCTCTCCAACACCTTCTAGGAAGTCAAGGTATTCAGCCTCCAAGCTAGGACCCGGGAGTTGCAGAGAGAAGCTGCGTGAGGGAACCTGGAGCTGCCACGGGCACCCTCTGCTCTGCTCTCAATTCCTCAAGAGCAGGGGATGGGACCTCCTCATCTGTCCAGTTCTGTTGACCTTGGGAAATTTACTTACCCTCTTGGTGCCTCAGTTTCCTCACCTGCCCAGTGGGAATAATAATACTTCATAAAGTCATTGTGAAGGTTGAATGAGAATGTCTGTAGGAACATTTAGCACAGGGACTACCGGGGAATTTAGTTCGACAAATATTTATTGGGCATGTGTTCTGTGCTAAGCAGAGGAGATAAGATGTTAAGTCAGGTGTGTCCCTCCCCCTATCAAGTTTACATTGTATTGAGAGAGACCGAAATTGAACATGCAATTACAATTGATAATAATTATAAAAGATAACCGTGTTGGTTGGCGCTTGCTATGTGCCAGGCTGTGTGCTGTTCCTTTTTTTTATTTTTAACCTTTTATTTTGAAAAAAATATAGATTCACAGGAAGTTGCAAAAAATAGTACAGCATTCCCTATATCCTCCACCCAGTTTTTCCTCAATCCTTAACATCTGTCACAACTGTAATACAATACCAAAATCAGGAAGTTAATTGACATTGTTAAAATCTACAGACCTCATATTTCACTAGTTTTACATGTCTGTGTGTGTGTGTGTGTGTGTAGTTTTATGACATTTTATCACATAGGCAAATTTTTGTAACCACCACTGCAATCCAGATACAGAACTGTTCCGTCACCACAAAGATCTCCCTCATGCTGCTCTTTCATAAATCACACTCACCCAGCCCAACCTCTGGCAACCACTCACCTGTTCTCTGTCTCTATAATTTTGTTATTTTGAGACTGTTATATCAACGGAATCACACAACATGCGACCTTTGGGGATTGACTTTTTTCATTCAGCATAATGCCCTTGAAAAGCGCTCATTTCTTTGACAAACAGCCATTTAACCTCCATAATTTCCCTACAAAGTATGACTCTCCTCATTTTACAGTTAAAGAAATGGAGGTACAAACAGGTTGAGTAACATGCCTCTGGTCACATGGCTGGGAAGGGGCTGAGAGGGGATTTGAAACGAACATAGCATTTACCATTTTAACCATTTTTAGGTGTACATTCACAGGGTTGTGCAACCATCACCATTTCTAGGACTTTTTCACCATCCCAAACAGAAACTATGTAGCCATTAAACACCAAATCCCCATAACCCCCACCCCTAGCCCTTGGTAACCTCTAGTCTACTTTCTGTCTCTATGAATTTGTCTATTCTAGGTACCTCATGTAAGGGGAATGATACAATATTTGTCCTTTTGTGTTTGGTTTATTTCACTTAGTATAATGTTTTCAAGGTTCATCCATGTTGTGTCATGTATCAGAAGTTCCTTCCTTTCTGTGGCTGAATACTATTCCATTGTATGGATATACCATATTTTACTTATCCATTCATCTGTTGATGGAAACTTAGGTTGTTTCTGCTTTTTGGCTATTGTGAATGCTGCTGCTATGGACATTTGTGTTCAAGTATCTGACTCCCTGTTTTCAGTTCTTTGGGGTATTTACCTACCAGTGAAATTGCTAGATCGCATGGTAATCCTATGTTTTAACCTTTTGAGGAACCACTAAACTGTTTTCCATCACAGCTCCACCAGCTTTCCCACCAAAAATGCAAAAGAGTTCCCATTTCTCCACATCCTTGCCAACACTTGTTATTTTCCTTTTTCTTTTTTTTTAACAATAGCTGTCCTAATGGATGTGCATGCTACTGCATTTAACAGCATCTTGCTTTCCTCCTTATCTAGCCCTGTCTTTGGTCCTAAAATAGCCCATCCACCTACTTTGAACCCTGCTTCCTCAGATCTGGACCCTCCATCTCTGTCCCCAGAAGTGGTCTTAGAGCCCAGACCAGGTCTGACTCAGACATGGCCTCCTTTTTCCTTCCCCTCCTGCAGCAGCAATCCCTTTCCTGGTTCAGTTCACCCTCAACATCACCATCACCAATCTGCACTATGAGAAGGACATGCAGCGCCCTGGCTCCTGGAAATTCAACAGCACAGAGAGGATCCTGCAGGGTCTGGTGAGAACCCCGCCCACCGGTGCCAGACCCACCCACTTCACTCACCACCCACCCACTAGCGGCAACCCCCCCCCCCGCATTCCACCCATGCCCCGCCCATACCACCTCTTCCCTATTCACCTCACCAATGCCCGAGCTTCTCCTGGCCTCCCTCAACGGTTCCTCCTCACCTCCCCTCTCCTTTCTCACAGCTCAAAGGCTTGTTCAAGAATAGTAGTCTGGGATTCCTCTATTCAGGCTGCAGACTAAGCTCACTCAGGTGAGACCCTCCCCAAAAACATAACCTAACAGGAGAGTGGGACCCTAACCTATGGACTCCCTGACTTTGTCCATACTTGGAACAACCACTGCTTATGGATGCCAACCATCAACAATGACAACAATAATACCGGCAGCGAACAATTCCTGAGACCCAAAGCACTGTGCTATTACTTTACATTTGATCTCATCAGTCCTCTCAACAGCCTTATGAAGCAGGAACAGAAGGTGTAACTGAGGCTCAGAGGGAGCAAATAGTTGTGCACGTCACACAGAGCAACCCGGCATTTCGAGTTCTGGATCCAAACTCCTAGCCCTTAAGCAGCATTGCCTTCTCTGCCCCCATATATAATTAATATATATATATAATTTATATACATAGAATATATATAAGTATATATTATATATGTACAAAGTATAGCTATATATATAAAGTATATATATACATGAAGTACAGGTATAATTATATATTATACCTTATCTATCTTTCTAATATATATATACATACATATTAGGTGTAGGTATAATAGATATTATATATACCATAATTATGTAAAATTAGATATAATATACAATACAATAATATAGAATATAAAATTTAAAATAAATATAGAATATAAAATTTAAAATAAATATATAACAAATATTATATTTGTACATTAAATATATATTTGTATATCTATATATTTATATCATATATATTATATTAATATTATATATAATTGTGTTATATGTAATATATAGTATAATAATAATTGTGGGAATTGAGCAATACAGCCCATAGGGATGCTTTGAGGATTAAATGACACAATCATGAATACAAAGTGCTGGACATGTTGCATACTAAGTATGTAATAGAGGGTAGTTGTTATTATGGGAGGTCGACCATCCATGGTCCTGGCACATGGGAGCCCCTTTCTCTCCAATAATAGTGTGTGACTGGGTAGGTGGGTAGGTGGGTCAATGTCCTGTAGCTGCAGATGGGTGCTGAGACATAGAGACTTTCCTTTGGACAAGTCACGCTTTCAGAGACCCACTAAAAAGGCTTCTCTCTCAGGCCACTTAGTCCCTTGAGTCTCTTTAGAAATGTCCCAGCCCTGATGGTATGTAGGATCTAGAGAAGGTGACTTTTGCCTTCTTATCCCTCCATTTGAAAACTGCAACTCTCTGCAGGAAAATATCATCAGCTATGCTGTGGTCACATGTTGTAGGGCCATTGTCACCCATTACAGCATGACCCCAGGCACCTTGTTGTGTCCATCAAAACCTGCGATGGGACTTGGATGTCATGGCTTCATTTGGCATCTTCCAGGATTGTTCACCCCCATCAATAGCACCTTCTCTGTATCTGTCACTCACCCAGTGCTTTCAGAGGCTTCTCTCCCAGGCATGCAGGAAGCCTGGAGTTCTGTGGTATCCTAGTTATTTGTTTGTCGAGGGCATCTCCCTGAAGGCAGAAACTTCCTTGTAAACTAGGACTTCCCAAGATTCTGCCTTAAGGGCTGGCAGAGAGAGGGAGGGAATGATGAAGAGATGGAAAGGTAGTTGAACCAACCGTGTGGAGGTTCTTATCCAGGCCTGAGAAGGACGGGACAGCCACCAGAATGGATGCCATCTGCACACATCGTTCTGACCCTGAAGGCCCTGGACCAGACAGAGAGCAGCTGTACTGGGAGCTCAGCAAGATGACCCATGGTGTCACCCGGATGGGCCCCTACACCCTGGACAGGAACAGCCTCTATGTCAATGGTGAGCAGCTGTTCTGTGGTCGGAGTCTTTTCCTCCTCACTGGGCGGCCTCTGCTCTCTAACTTGAGATCACACCCCATCTGGCCCGTAGGGGCTTGGCTATGTGCTCTGGATGTGCTGATTCACGTCTGGACCTTATGGTTTTTTCTTCATCTTGGACTGACTTCACCCTCAGGGCCTTGTCTCATGATGTGTGGGTGCTGATAGAGAATCCCCAACAGTCTCTGCCCCATGAAACCCCCTCCATTGCACCAGGGTATCCCTGACCCCTATTTGGTCCCCCACCTCTCCCTTAACCCTGACCCACAATCCTCCCTCCTTCTCGCTACAGGTTTCACCCATCAGAGTTCTGCACTTATCAGCAGCAGTGAGTATTCCGCTGATGTCCAATGCCCCCCGTACCAGGCAGGGAGGAAGCTGACCCCTCCTCAGGCACACTTATGTCCTCTCCAGGAGGGAAGGAGCTCCTGGGAGGGCACAAGTTATTTACCCTCCCTTCTGCCCTACTCCCAGAGAGAATCCCAGCTCAAGTCCCACATGCAGCAAGCCCAATACATAGTCTCTCCTGCTGGCATTTCTGCCATGTGAGTGCCTTTCTGTTTTCACTGATGAGGGCTTTTCCTCAGCTCCTGAGACCTCAACCGTGGACCTAGGAACCTCTGGGACTCCATCCTCCTCCTCCAGCCCCACAGGTAAGTATCAATCAATGGCGCATCTGTTAGAGAGTGCCTGAGGAACGTGAACATCTCTGACATTAACCACTCAAATAAAGATGAAAATCATAGTAAATCTAATGATAGAGTCAACCCACAACCTTTATTGAGCACCTACTCTGTACCAGGCCCTGGGGATACAGCAGGGAACATGGAACAGAAAAAAATCGCTGTCTCGTAGAACTTATATTATTGTGATGATGATGATGATGATGAAAATGATGATGGTGGTGGTGGTGATGATAATGATGATGATGGTGACACTGGTGGTAATGATAATGATGCTGATGATGGTAATGGTGGTGGTGGTGATGATGGTAGTGATGATGATGATAATGATAGCAGTGATGATGACAATAATGACAGTGATGGTGAAGGTGGTGGTGATGATGATGGTGATGGTGACACTGGTGGTAATGATAATGATGCTGATGATGGTAATGGTGGTGGTGTGGATGATGGGGATGATGATGGAGGTGGTGATGATGATGATAATGATAGTAGTGATGATGGTGATGATGATAATAATGATAGCGATGATGAAGGTGGTGGTGGTGATGGTAATGATGGTTATGGTGATGATGATGGTGGTAATGTTGATAGTGATGATGGTGATGATGACAATAATGATGGTTATGGTGACAATGATGGTGATGATAATGATGGTGATGACGGTGATTGTGAAGGTGATGATAGCGATGGTGACAGTGATGATGATAGTGATCAGAAAGAAAACAGACAATATCTCATATTTTTGAGTACTGAATATGCACCAAGTGCTATGCTCAGCATCTAACTAGTATTATTTAATATGGTTTTTTAAAAACTTTCTATCATTATAGGCAAGGAAGGCATGGGAACCTTTTATTTATCACTCACTTTAAATTCTGCTGCTTACTTTAAAATAATTCGTATATTTATTAATAAATGCAAACTCTTAGGTTTTCTCTGCTTTTGAACATTTTTTTTTCTGTTGACCCCAATATTGAGTAAATCTGCTGCATGGAGCAATTGTGTCTTACTCCTTTGTGCTTCCTTGGTGTCTACCACAGTGCCTTGTGCATAGTAGGTCTACAGGAAATATGTGGATTCTCCCAGGAAAGGAAGGGATGAAATATGCTTTTTTGTAATGTGTGGAAACAGTCCTTCCTTGACCTGGTTCAAATCTTTAATGATTCTGTTAGATTCTAACCAGGACAACTGTATGGCATTTGTGCCAACACTCCCTATTCTCTCATCCATGGCAGACATCACTAATGATAATAGCATCCATTCTTTCTGAGCTCAAAACAGCTCCAGAATCCTTACCAACAAAACACTCCAGGCAGTCACTACCAATTCAATTGAAGTTGTCACAGGATTCTGGGACAGAATTCAAGGAAATTAGGTCCCCTGATGATGCACAAAAGGCTCTTTGGTTTTCTTGGAAGGCATCTGTGAGTTGGAAGGCTCAGCTTAGGCTCAGCTGGGTCATGACTGAGAACACCAGTTTGATCCAAGCTTCATCACACTTGTTAACTAGCTTCCTGTTAGGTTCAGCCAATGGGAGGCATTGGTAGGACAGTGATGGGCAGGGCAGGAAAAGAGCCAGGATATTTCTTCACCTCTCTCTGCTTCCTGTAGCATCTCCAGCAGGGGCTGTGTCTCCTCCATGGTCTCAACAATCTTGGTATGCCATTCTCTCATCCCTTTGTCCCATCAGCCCTATGGGGCTAGAGGCTTCTTGATTTTGCTAATGTCTATGCTACCTTTTCAGGTTTAAAAAAATATTTTTACATTAAACATTTCTTAGAAATATTAATTTTTTATAAATATAAAATTTATATTTTTATATTAAATTCATCTTATTGAAATACCTGACATAAGTTCTATTTTCCTAACTAGAAATATGTGTGCCCAGTGCCCTGATGATGCCTCACACATACCTGGTGCTCAATAAATATTTGTTTAACAAATGAATGAATGAACTAAAATTATAACTAGGAATCTGAGGCCTAAGTCTGGTCACATAACTGGGCCTATATAGGGAAAGTCTGGGGGTCACATTAGGTACCCCAAAATTGGAGCTCTTGGGAGAAGAACCCATTCCGTATACCAAGAGCTGTTGGGCATGACTTAAACAGTGGTCCTTGCCTGCTTTGGATCAAGAACCAAGCTGGATCGAGCCCTCTGGTGGAGAGACTGAGACCTCATATGTGTGAGGGTGAGGGGAGGCTGGAAGAGGGCCTGGACAGAGAGCCATAGCAGGCTCAAGACAGGTTCTCTTATCTGTCTCCCCTGTTGCAGCCACAAGCCCTACCCTGGTGCCATTTACCCTCAACTTTACCATCATGAATATGCAGTACATGCCAGACATGGGACATCCAGGATCTGCAAAGTTCAACATGACAGAGAAGGTCCTGCAGCACACTGTAAGAGTCCTGCTGCCCACTCCTCCTCACCCCTGCGTGGCCCCCTCTCCTTCTCCTGCTTACCACCCTCTCCTTCCTCCCCAGCTCGGTTCTTTGTTCAAGAATATCAGTATCGGCCCATTGTATTATGGCTGCAGACTGACCTCACTCAGGTGAGACACCGAGGCATGGATGCTCATATCTCATGCCTCTGTTAATTTAAAAGGTAATTTGCCTGTTATTTTACCCTCAAAATAAGTTTGTTCGGAAATAGCCAAAGGAATTGCAACTAAGGATGTGCATGCTATGGCAAACCATAGGCAGAGCCAGAGAACAAGGGAAGGATGCTGCCGTTATGGAGAAAAGGGGGAGTAGGGAGGAGCTGTTCTAAAAGAAAATCCATTGGGGGAAAGTAACAGTTCATGGTGGTTTCTCATTGGCTGAGCCGTGGAGTTTCACATTGGCTGGGCTGTTGCCAGGTAGGGAGAGAAATCTTCCTTCAGTAGTACAATAGTTGTACTTCCTGTCAGAGATGCAAGTATCTGTCTCCTTCTGTTTGGAGTAATTGACGATGTGTGATAGGGCATGAGAGCTCCCCCTACAGGCCATCCTGACTCCACTTTAGTTGAGGTTTCTCTTGTTCAATTCACACCTCCCAGATTCACTTCCTCTCCTCCACCCCATCCGTGATCCCCACCTGCCCAGTGTAGCAGGCTCTGGGCACCTGTGATGCTGCATCTACTGAGCCCTCTCCCAGTTCCTGTCTTCCCAGGCTTCTGTTCTTTCTTCCTTCAGGTCCCAAAGAAGGTGTGGAACATCTCCCAAGAGTTAATGCTTTGCAATTTCCAAAATTATTCTGTATGGAGGAAAATTTTTAAATAAAACATGGATAGGCCTTGGGGCTGTTAACCCACATTAACCTTAACCCACATTTAAGGTGTTCAAAGGTGATGCAAGATCTTGGGGCTTCCCCACCTGGTACCCACCCCCGCCCTGCCTTGGCCTAATCTGGGAGTGAGGTGCCAAGAGGCTGGAACATGGATGATGAACAAACATTGTGTCAACTTGAGTCCCAATTCACCTTCTTCATCTATTGATCTTTTATATTTTGTCTCCCTTTTCTTTCTTTTTCCTTCTTTCTTTCTTCCTTCCTTTCTTCTTTCCTTCCTTCCTTTCTTTCTTTTTCTAAGGAAGGTGATTTCAGCTGCGTGGCTTTTACAGATTATCGTTCTTGCAAGTCTCCCTCATCATCAGTCCTGCATATGTCCCCATCCCCGTGTTCCTCCCTCCTCAGGTCCAGGAAGGATGGATTAGCCACCAGAGTGGACACCATCTGCACCTACCGCTCTAAGCCCACAAGCACTGGGCTGGATAGAGAGCGTCTGTACTGGGAGCTGAGCCATGAGACCCATGGCATCACCCAGCTGGGATCCTTCACCCTGGACAGGAATAGCCTTTATGTCAATGGTGAGTGGAAGTGATTCTTGCAGGGTCTCCTCCTGCTTCCCCGTGGGTCTCCCTGCGGACTGTGTGCTCTGTGCTCATGACACATGTTCTGGATCCCCTGTCCTCTCGGGTGTGAGGAGGATTTGAGCTTGTCCCAAACTGGCCTGCACCTTTGGTTCTTTCCCTCAAGAAGACGCATACATTCACAGCTTTTCTGGAGATATATTGAGGGATCAGACACTCAGAGAAGTGAGGAGGGACAGATTGGCAGAGGGATGGACCACAGATGACCTGATAGAGAAATTCTTCCCTGTGCTCCAGTAGCATTCTCTGGGGTTTGTCTATAGGGTCTGCACTTTGAGGGTGCTCTATAAATACTACTTAAATAAATAGATTCAAAGAAACTCAAAGAGCCCCAGATTCTTGCCACTTCCTCCCATCCCCCATCCTTATAACTTTTCATTTTCTTTCTCCCTCTCTTTCTTCAGGATACACCCATCAGGCCCTGACCTCCACCCCCAGCGGTAAGTAGTAATTTGGGTCCTAGCATTGTGTTGCCCTGGGGTCCATTTCCCCTCCCTGCTGTCCCTACTCTGGCCTTTCCCCACCTTCACTCCCCAGTTCAGAAAAGACAAGCTTGGCACAGACCTGAGGCTGAAAAAGAAAAGGGTCTTAAGGTCCCATGATGAGTTCTTTTTGGCTGAGGATGCCTATGGAGACGCCCTCCCTTCTCCATATTTGCCTCACTGTGTTTTCTTCTCAGTTGCTGTGGCCTCTACCATTTCCCCAGCAACTTCAGCGACCCCAGTCCCTGTCTCCATAGGTAGGAGCTTCCTCTCTGGGATTTCTCTCTGCAAAGGTCTCCTGCACTTGGCCAGTGGGAGGTATCATGTGGAGAGCCACACCCATTCATTCATTCATTCATGCCTTTGATAAGTATTTATTTAGCACTTACTGTATAAAAGGCCCTGGTCATGCAGCAGTAAACAGAATAGAAAGGGCCCTGGTCTTTGATGGGCTTCCAGCAAGAAAAACAGAGAATGAAGAATTGAGTGTACAAATAAGTATTGAATTGCAATCAGCATGGTCTTGGGGTGAGTTTTGCAGGTATGAGTGGAGGGCTTCTCTCTCTTGGGTACTTCATTTTCCTTTCCAGGAAAGAAGGGAACAACATAAGCTACATATGTACCTAAAAAAATGCCCTCTTACAGGTCCTGGTCCAGGACTTGAGCAGACTCTGATTGGGCAAAGGGTCAGCTTTCCATTCCTGGCCTCCCGCTGGCCCATGGTAGATTTCCATACGACCCATCGACCCTGCTAAGGGCCCTAGATGAGCCATCATTACCACTGTCTTACTTGAGTCTCTAGTCAGTCATTAGCTAGGGCATCCTGAGGGCATTCTGACCACTTACCACTCAGGCCAGAACGAGCCGCCACTGTAGGCAGGACCTGCCCATGGTCCCAGTGGAGGGTTAGGGGCACAAACTCTGGGACCACAATGCCTGGGTTCAAACTATGCTCTGCTATTCATAGATTGTGTGACTTGGGGCAAATTACTTAACCTTCCTTGGGCTCAGTTTTCACACCAGTAAAATGGGGATAAGAATACTATCTCCTTCCAAAGAGTTTCCCTCAAGGTTTAAAAGTAAGTGAAGCGCTTAAAACAGGGGCTGACTCATAAAAACGCAATGTAAGCGTTTCTTCAAACAAATTTTTAAAAGTCAATAAATAGGTGGATCTCAGAGAAACAACTGGGTTAAAAAAAAAAAAAAAAAACCTTAGGAAAAGAGAATGTCTGTCTAGATTTTAGCCAACCAAAGGATCAGATATGTCTGCTTCCTGCTTGATGATGCTTTTACCTCTATAGTGCAATTTTTCATACTCATCCCCAGTGCCCCTCAGTTAATGCTGATGTCTGGGATCTCCTCCCTCTGGAAACTGCCCATCTTGGAGGAAGACCCTCCCAATGCATGTAGACATGCATGTGGGATGATGCCCCATGCGTAGGCTCACCCAGCACAGGGTAGGTTCAGTGGGTGTGTCTCTCTCACCTCCACTGCAGCCACTGGTCCTGCTCTGTTGCCCTTTACTCTCAACGTCACCATCACTAACTTGCACTTTGAGGAAGACATGCGTCGCCCTGGTTCCTGGAAGTTCAACACCACGGAGAGAGTCCTGCAGGGCTTGGTGAGAGCCCCGCCCACCGGCGCACGCCCCGCCCACTGATGCAAGCCCCACCCACCTAGTCTCTGCCACGCCCACCGAAGCAGATCCGACCCACCACCCTTGTCCCCATAGATGCAAGCCCCGCCCATTGATCCCAGCCCTACCCGGCTCACTTCTGCCCTGCCCCCAACCCTTCAGATTTCCTACTCTCGCCCCTCTCCCGCCTCTACAGCTCCAACCTTTGTTCAAGAACACTAGTGTGGGCCCCCTGTACTCTGGCTGCCAACTGACCCTGCTCAGGTGAGACATCGGAATAGCCCGCTAAGGCTGCCTCAGTTGCTCCCAGACCCAAGGAGTTTGTTCCACTTCCTTCTTACTCTTCTGCTTCCTTCCTTCTCTGTCAAATCCTCAGCAGAAATGGAATTCAGGAAGCACTGGCTCTAGGACCAACACCTCTTCTGATTATAAACCCCCCAACTGTCTCCAGATCTGGCCAAGTCCGATAGCAGGATTCAGACCCTAGCTGGTCATCCTTCTGAGTTGCCTCCTCCCCTCCCTTTGATCAATGAGGGCATTTGCTTTAGGTTTTCAGTTCTGTCCCCAGGATTTCTCTCAAGACAAACGTTCCTTTTCCACTGGCTTTAATCCCAAATTCCAGCTCTTCACCTATCTTAACTGTGAGCTATCCTGTCCCCATGCCGTGAGGAAGCAGGTTTCGAACTTGCAAATTAGCAAAAATTCTCCCACCTACTTACTCTGTTCGTGGTCCCAGGCTGGCTGAAAGTCGGTGCACTCAGAGAATCTAAGTCTGGGTTCTCACCTCTCTACCAGCCTTCTCATTTCCTCTCTCCCCTTCCTGTCTTGCCCCTAGGGATCTCAGGACCCCTCCCTAGGGACTCCATTTATTGTCCTCCCCCTTACCGCCCCTCTTCAGGCCTGAGAAGAATGGGGCAGCCACCAGAATGGATGCTGTCTGTACCCACCACCCTGACCCTTTGGGCCCCGGACTGGACAGAGAGCAGCTGTACCGGGACCTGAGCCAGCTGACCCATGGTGTCACTCAGCTGGGCCCCTACACCCTGGACCAGGACAGTCTCTACATCAATGGTAAGGGGTTGCCATCTTTTTTTGCATTTCAACATGTCCCGCATCCTCCCCCTCCATTCTTCCCTTTCTCTCATCCTGCCTCCTCCTCACCCTATCTCCCTCTACCTGTGCAGGTTACACCCACCAGACCCAGGCCACCACTCCCAGCAGTGAGTATTCTGAGGCTTCTGAAGTCTCCACAACACTCCATCTGAGTCCCAGTCCCTATAAATGGAAGACGGCAGGAGCCCACTGCCATGGACTCATTTCAACATTTAATGAATGTTTTGTGTGTGTGTGTTTCCCCCCACTTTTTATTATGAAATCTTCCTCTATTTTATATGTGGGTTGCTGCCACAGCATGGCCGCCAACAAGTGATGTAGGTCCGCGCCTGGGAGCTGAACCCGGGCCAGCGAAGTGGAGCATGCTCAACTTAACCATTAGACCATGGGGCCAGCCCCTCCCTATCCTGTTTTTTATCATGACATTGACCTTTAAGGACATCAGAACAGATTCTGGCTTTGTCTGCTTTCTTTATATATACTCTTGAATCAGAATATACTTGAGAGGAATTCTTCATAAAATAAGTCTTATTAAGTGACTCATTAAATTGGAAAAAAATGTTATTTGCCAAATTGCTCCTCATGCAAATTCTCAAATGAGAAATAAACCTGTCCAGGAGAGTCCTCAAAGGTTCCCTGGTAGGAGTAAGAAACTGGCTCAAGCCAAGACAAGCTTACGGTCTTTAACTCTCCATTTCTCACCTAGTCTTACACCAGCTCAAGTCCGCATAGGGGTTTTGGGGGATTTCGGAGTTGATTAAAGAAAAGGATATGACCACTAGATGGCAGTAGCACACGCAAGCTTTATTGGGCCAGCTTTGATAGGTTTGTGTGTAGGGGAGATCCCTCACAGCATGACACCTTTAAGAGGTCATGGTGAGGTTATGGTGTGGGGGTCACTACTCAGAAAGGGAGAAGGGCAAGGGAACTCCCAGGGCAGGAGGGGATCATCTAGGTGATGTCACTCAGCTGCCTGGCAGAGTCTCTGAGTTAGACAGCTCCAAAGGGCAGCAGTGGCTTAGGCTCTTTATAGCCACAAGGTTTATCCTTTTTATGGCCATCAGATGTTGGGTGCAGTTTCATGGGGCATGCAAAGCAGGCAGGCTCAAAATGGCTAAAATCTGCTTGTTTGGGCTATGTTTAAAACAACTGGATGTGTAATCATGAGTTTGGTCCTGGCAGGCTTTTGAGCTAATGGATCCCAGCCTGCTGTGAAGAAATAAATGATTTTGGGGCTAATATACAGGCTCCACCTTTGGCTCATTTATATAACACCCAGACACCACCATCTTTAGTTTCTGTGTGTGGCCAAAGCTGGGGACCATGTAAAACAGAACATATTGCAGCCTTTACTCCCCATCCCCACTCCATCTCCAGCCTCAGATGAACAGAGAATGATACCCTCTCCCTGTTATCTCCAAGATGATGGGGTCCCCTGAGCAGGCAGTGATTGTGTCCCAGTGGCCCTTTGCCTTACATCTGGTCCAAGCCTGACTCAGGGCACGGCTTCGCCTTCCCCTCCCCCACTGCAGCTACTGGCCCTGCCCTGGTGCCCTTCACCCTCAACTTCACCATCATCAACCTGGGCTACACAGAGGACATGCGGCCGGGCTCTGCCAAGTACAACTCCACAGAGTCAGTTCTACAACGCCTGGTGAGAGCCCCCTGCTACACATCCCTCCTTTCCAACTTCCTCTCCACCCTCTTGAGTCACCTTGCTACAATTTTTGGAGGATACAGAGGGCTGGGGAGGCAGACATGTCCAGGTTCAAAACTTGGAACTGCCACAGACAAGTGGTGTGACTTTGGAGTCATAATCTTGCCTTTTGGTACTGCTTCCTCATCTATAAACAGAGATAATAAAAGCACTTATCCCAAAGGGTCCTTTAGAGAATTAAATGTGAGATAAGATGATTAGGAAGCTGTTGTTTTATTCAAACATATTGTGTCTTAAGTGATGATTAATTTTGCATTAATTTTTCATTCACCCACTCCCTCCTCCTCAGTTCAAGCCCTTGTTCACCAACAGCAGCATTGGTTCACTCTATACTGGCTGCAGACTGACTGCGCTAAGGTGAGACTTCTTCCTCTTTGTCTTGCCTTCAGAGGTGTGGTAAAGTGTGGGTCTGTTGGGCTGGCCTTTTCTAGACTAGGCAGAGCAAGTGAGGTGCCTAGGGCACAAAATTTATTTAAGGAGATGCTAACACTATACTTGCATAGCACTGAGAGGGAACACTCCTTACATGTTGTGCCTAGGTCCTTGCTTACTTCACGCTATTCCCAGCTCTGGGGCTAGTCCTGTGCACTGCCCTCTCTAGGTCATCTTAAATCCAATCAGACAGTCAGACTCTCAAGACCTGAATAGGCCATCCATGACTTCAGTTTCACTTAGAAGGATATGGACAGGAAACAGCACGCCAGCAGGACGGCGCTGGACATTTATTTTTTGCAAGAGCCTTCTGGGCAGTCCAAAGGCTATTCTTTTGGCCTCCCGAATGACAGTTCATGTGCAAGGAAATGAAATCTCAATGGATAGGTGCTGAAGCCACCTTGGGTTAGTTGTCCCATGTCCCAAAGAGGAACCAATCTTTTGTAAAAGACCTGCCCAGTTACCAGTGTCACCACATGCCCAAGGAAGCCCAAAGCTGTAGCTTCCTTCCAGGTATTGATGTCCATTTATGGTCCTTCCAGAAAAGATGCAGGTCATCAACCATTTTCACCATAAGCAGCATCACCAGACATAACAGCTGACATTGTGCCTTTATCAAGTCTCTAGGAGAACAGACCTAGAAGCAGCTTAGCTCAAGGCCACTTCCATCCTGCTGAGGTACAAGAGACACTCCATCTCTCCCCAGTAATGCTCTCTGGCAGTGCAACCTGCTGGATCCCCCAGGTTATCCCTTCAGGCCTAGTTTCTCCTGCTGCCCCAGAGAGCTAGTAATGCAACAGACAGGTGGGCAGTGGGCAGAGGTCTCTGCAATGTGGAGTCTCATGTTCAGATGCTCAGATCCAAAAATTGGGTTGGATCAGCTTTCTGAGAGCTGATAAGTCTCTGTTCAGAGCTGCTGTCCAGTCTTTCTAGGGATTGTGAGTGCTCTGTAAACATTTGTTTAATTAAGCAATTAATTAATTAATGAACACTTGTCATGTACCTGACACCAGGGCTGAGTGTTTTTTTTTTTTTTTGTGAGGAAGATCAGCCCTAAGCTAACACCCATGCTAATCCTCCTCTTTTTGCTGAGGAAGACCGGCTCTGAGCTAACATCTATTGCCAATCCTCCTCCTTGTTTTTCTCCAAAGCCCCAGTAGATAGTTGTACATCACAGTTGCACATCCTTCTAGTTGCTGTATGTGGGACGCGGCCTCAGCATGGCCGGACAAGCGGTGCATCGGTGCGCGCCCGGGATCCGAACCCGGGCCGCCAGTAGCGGAGCGCGCGCACTTAACCACTAAGCCACGGGGCTGGCCCCCAGGGCTGAGTATTTTATATCAATCATTTCTGAATCCCATCACATTCCAACAAAGTGGTTACAGCATTATCCATGCTGCAAAGATGGGAGAACTGAGTCAGAGGTGCTTGTGTGGATTATTCAACAAATGACAGAGCTAAGGTTTGAACCAATGGTTGCCTGACTCTAAACATCCACTCTGGTCCTTTGTGGCTTGAAGATGCCCCTTCTCTTGTGAGTGGCTCATACCTGAGAGCAGATAAACAGGCATCCAAGTACAAGTGGGCTGATGAAAGGATGTCCTACCAGAGATGCGCTTCTGTCCTATTCCCACACCCATGTCCTTCTCGCCCCAGGCCTGAAAACGGTGGAGCAGCCACAGGAGTTGACGCCATCTGCACCCACCATCCTGACCCTGCAGGCCTCGGGCTGGACAGGGAGCGGCTCTACTGGGAGCTGAGCCACCAGACCCATGGTGTCACCCAGCTCAGTCCCTACATCCTGGACAGGGACAGCCTCTATGTCAACGGTGAGCGTCTGGTGGGGACAGGGGTCTCCTCCTGCACCCCAGATGGATTCTTCTGTTGCTGCTTTGAGCTCTGGCCAGAGGAGGCATCCATGTCTGCTTCTAGATTTCTCTCTCCTCACTCTTTTCTTTGTGAGGTACCCTTTCCCCACAGAGGGCTACATCACACGCAGAGAGAGATGGAGAGTCAGAGAAAAGTTATAGGAGGCACAACTCAGTGCCTGGAAGGGACACAACCTCCTGATGGCATCCATTCTTCCACCAATGGCCAGCCCCTTCATCCCTTCCTTAACCCTTTCAAACATCCTTCCTCACTCTTACCCACTCTCTGCAGGTTACACCAGACAAGCTTTGACCTCCATCCCCAGTGGTAAGTGTTCAAACCCTATGTGGCCCCATGCCTCTACAATGCCTTGTGAGGGCAGCTAGTCCTTCCTCCCCAATTCCAGGGTCTCATGGAGGAAGGGTCCTGGTTACTCCCACCTCTACCTTCTGTGACTGAGGCTGGGCATCAGGGTCCCCTGTCTCTGGCATCTCCAAGGTGATGAGATGGCGTCATTCTCATTTCTGATGCTCTCTCCTCAGTTTCTGTGACTTCCACACCCTTGAGAACCTCAACGGCTCCAATCTCCTTCTCTAGCTCTACAGGTAAGAGCCTTCTCTTCATGTCTCCCTCCTTCCCACCCACCTGCCTCCATGCTTAGCAATGAGAAGGACAAGAGAGTATGAACAGGAAGGTCAAGGCAAGGGGACAGTGTCAGGGGGATAAATCTTTGGGTTTGGAGAGCTCTGTGACTCCAGGTTTTCAATCCCAGACTGAAGGAGTAGCTCCTTGTAATCTATTCTTGGCTTTCTGTTAAGGTTTTGTATCAGTTAGCTTACTTACTAACAACATAACAAATGACCCCCAAATTTACTGGATTAAAACAATAATTTGCTACTGCTCATTAGTATATAGGTCAGCTGGGCATTTCCTGTAGTCTGAACCAGGCTTCCTTATGTGTCTACAGTCACCTGCAGATTCCTAGGTGACTCTGCTTCTGGAAGATGCCTGACTGATGGTTAGGGTGCCTCAGTTCTCCTTCACGTGACCTCTCATCATCCAACAGACTAGCTTTGGCTGGTTCATATGGTGGTCATGGAGCACCTAACACTCAGAGAAGGCAAGACCCAGTGCACAAACACTTTTCTCACCTCTACTTGCATCACATTTCTCTTGTCCCATTGGCCAAAGCAAGTCATGGCCAAGCTGGAGTCAAGGGGTGGAGAAATAGACTCCCACCTCTTGGTGGAAGGGGCTGCAACACCACATTGAAGGGTGTAGATGCAGGGAGGTGAGGAATTTGTGGCCATTTTTACAATCTACCCCAGGTGACCTACCAGGGACCAACTTGTGACCATGTTGGCCTTAGGAGACCTGGAGGGGTCAGTTAGTGAGACCAGATCCAATGGTACATTCTAGAACAATTCCCAAAGCTTTACCTTCTGCTATAATTGAATGGAAATAGTCAAGGGCAAATCCAGGACTAATTCCCAAAGGGCAGAGACTAAAGGGGTCAGCAGAGAAAGCAGACACAATGACAACAATGACAACAAAGCAATGACAGCAGCCTTCATTGATCGTTTGTCACATAACACGGACCCTGCTTTACATGTGTGACCTTCAACCTCTGCAGGTGGACACTGCTATTTCTCCATTTAAGAGAGACACAGACTGGTTCTTGGGGGGCTCAGTGATTTTCTGAGGTCACACAGCCGATAGATGGGCAAGACTCAACTCTAAGTCATTCAAATGCTAGAGTCTGAGCTTCTGTCCTAAAATAGCTATGTGGCCTTGGGGAAGTGACTTAACCTCTCTTAAACTCATTTTCATCCTATGTCATTTGGGGGTAAGTAACAGAACTCCCCTCCAGGGGTTGTGTGAGGAATACATGAGATTCTGGATGGAAAGTGCTTAGCACAGAGTATAGCATAGAGTAAGCTCTTACCAAACATCAGCTGTTATTATTGCTGCTATTTTTATTGTCATTATTATTATCATTACTAATAACAGAAGAATAAAATAAAGTTTCCCATTCTGGGAGGAGACACTCTGACCTCTTGCACCAGATGTGAATGAACTGGGCAACAGGGATGTGGATCCAGACTCTCTCCCATGACCCCTAAATCTAGCTCAGGCAGTGACCCAGGGCGTGACTTCTCTCCCAACCTCACTGCAGTCTCTGGCCCTGACCTGGTTCCATTCACCCTTAACTTCACCATCACCAACCTGCACTACATGGAGGACATGCAACCTCCTGGCTCAGCGAAGTTCAACAAAATAGAGAAGGTCTTGCAGCGCCTGGTGAGAGCCCTGCTCACCTCTCCCTGCCTCCCAACTGATGCCAGCCCCACCCACCTATCCTATGCCCCATCCACCTATCCCATGCCCCACCCACCTATCCCATGCCCTGCCCACCTCATCCTAGCTCTGCCCCAGTCCTGCTCAGTGGTCTACTCCCCTCCCTCTCCTTCTTCAACAGCTCAGACCCTTGTTCAAGAACACCAGTGTCGGTCCCATCTACACCGGCTGTAGGCTGACCTCGCTCAGGTGAGACCTCCAGAGAAGATAGGCCAGTGAAGCATAGTGGAGATTCTAGCCCACAGTCCTCTAGGGCTGGGTCCTCCCTTTGGCCTCAGCCCTTTCCAGCTCCCCACCTGGGACAGCCACTGTCCCTCAGGCTCCTGGCTCCCAAGCCCTGCTCTGGACCTTCCCATCCTCCTGAGCCTCAAATCTCCCGTGCATTATTTACTAGGAACAAAATGACAAAATGTAGCAACTTGATAATATGCACCAAATTCCTTCTTAAAGGACGCACCCCAGATCCTTCACAAAGGGCACACCCACAGCCCCCCATGCCTCCAACCCCACACCACATAGAAACATTTCTGACGTCTAACATACAACAAGCACTTAGTGTGTGTCAGACTTTGGGGTTCTGGACACATGGTCGCTATTGACATTCTGGGCTAGATAAATCTAGCTGTAGGTGGCAGTCCTCTGCACTCTAGTATATTTATCAGCATCTTGGCCTCTACTCACTGGATGCCTGTAGTACCTCAGTCCCCCAAAGTTGTGACAACCAAAAATGTCTCCAGACATTGTCAAATAGCCCCTAGGAGTGCAAATCCAAGGGGAGAGTTATATGGTTCCCGTACATCATCTCCCTAAACTCTTTGAACATCACCATTAATATCCTCATTTTACCGTGAAACATTAAGGCACAAAAATGTTAAGGAACTTTCCCAAAGCCAATAGCTGCCCACGGTAGAGCCAGAATTCAAGCCCAGTGTCCTCAGAGCCCACACCTTTTCTCTCTAAGCTTTGCCTCTTTTCTTTGGAGAGGACCATAGGTTTGCTCCTCTTCTTCATGATCCCAGCCTGCAATTCTCTGCTTCATTCTGGTGCAGACGTGTAGAACTCGGCACTAGTTCAGCCAGTGATGGGGGTTCCCAAGCATGAGTGGCCGGCTCGGTTCCAAGGTCTCTGGAAGGGTTTAGCCTCAGTGGGTGTCTCCCCAGAATTCTCTCCATGACTCCAAAAGTAGAGTTTGAGAAAGGATTCCCTTCCTGAAGTGCTAGGAGAGAGAGGGATGGAAGGGAGTCATCTTTCTTAGAGCCTAGCCTAGGATGCTGATGCACCCACAGCAAAAGTGGACCCTCCACTACCCTGGCCTGGAGTTCCACAAATTTTCATTCATTCCACAGACATTGCTTGAGTACCTACTGTGTCCAAGCTCTGTGCTCAGCTCTGAAAACTCAATGGGGGCCAAATCACAGACTCTGCCATCAAGGAGAGTGCACTATATTAATTATATGTAAACATATGCAAACATATGTACATATTAATTATGTTTACACATTAATTATATATTAATGTTATTATATATGTTATATATTATATATAATATTATATATGAATATATTTATGTGATATATAATTTATATGTTTACATATTAATTGTATATTAATGTTATTGTTTGTAATATATGTTACATATAATATGTAAGCATATAATTAATAGTAACAATAATGGTAAGTAAAAATAATCGCAGCACTCACCTAGCGCTTAGGATGTACCAGATACTATTCTAAGCACATTACTTATATCATCAGATTTAATCCTCACAAGATACACCTGGGTACTGATTATACCCATTTTATAGATGAGAAACTGAGGCTCAGAGAGACTACTGAAGTGCTGAGAAATTAGGGAAGTGTAGTGGATCTACGAAGAACGGAGATCGAAGCTCATGCCTGGAGAGCAGTAAGTGATGGCCAGGAGACACAGCTCTGGGCCAGGAGGAGTGTTTCAGGGAGAGAGAACAACAGGAACAGAGAGCAGTGTCTAAGGTAGAGAGGGCATGCAGAGCAGAAACACTCAACTGCAAGGGGTAAGGCGGAGAGGTAAGCAGGGCAGGCCTGGGTGCCCTAATATGCATATTGGGACATTGGGCTTCACCCACAGCCAGTAGGGAGCCAAGGAAGGATTTCAGCAAATATCTGTTGACAGAACCCCACCACTTTCTAACTTTCCCTTCAGTATCCTCACAACATTCTCAAGAACCGTCTGCAGATGGATCCTCATTATCTCCACCCCTGTATCCCTCCCTCCACAGACCTGAGAAAGATGGAGTAGCCACCAGCGTGGATGCTGTTTGCACTCACCACCCTGACCCCATGGGCCCTGGGCTGGACAGAGAGCGACTGTTCTGGGAGCTGAGCCAGCTGACCCAAGGCACCACCCAGTTGGGTCCCTACACCCTGGACCAGAGCAGTCTCTATGTCAATGGTGAGCAATGGCTACTTTTGCTTTGCTGAATTGTTGAGCCTGCATTCTCCCCCTCCACGCCTCCTTTATTCCTTCTCTACCTCCAGCACCTCCTCTCTCTCTTTACCTCTCTCTCTGCAGGTTACACAAACCAGGCTTCAGAAACCACCCCCAGCGGTGAGTACTCAGTGGTCTTCAGAAGCCCCCCAATTAGGGAAGGAAGCAACAAGGCTCTGCCCACATCTCCAGCTGTCAGGGAGGGAAGGAGTCAAGGACACAGGCTGGGAAGTCATTGTGATAAGAGTCATCTGTGAATCACCTCTGTGTTGTCTGCTGAACACAGAGAAATGGCCACTAAATGTTGGTTGGGTGGATGGATGGAGGAAAGTAAGTGAACAATTGAATTGAAATAAATAAGAATGGAAGGTTGTAGACTGTCTCTTTCAAAGCTCTGTAGCTTCCAAATCATTCCCTCCTTCACCTGCAGCGTGTGATGGTCTAACATTGTCCACACTGGTGATTCTGGCATCACCCCAAGGACCCTCAGCCATCGCTGTGGTCTCTAGTGAGATGGCTGCTGGTCTCAGGGCTATGGTCCCACGCCCTGCCCCCTACTATATCCATCTCAGCTGGCCTCAGCATGGCCTCTCCTCTCCTTCCCCTGCTGCAGCCCCAGAACCACCCCTGGTGCCTTTCACCGTCAACTTCACCATCACCAACCTGCGCTACATGGAGGACATGTGGCCTCCAGGCTCTTTGAAATTCAACACCACAGAGAAGTCCCTGCAGCTATTGGTGAGAGCCACGCCCACTCTACCCAGCCCCACTCATTGATGCCAGCCCCACCCACATCACCTATGCCCTGCCCATTGATGCCAGCCCCACCCACATCACCTATGCCCTGCCCATTGATGCCAGCCCCA